GAGGAGGAGGAGGAGGAGGAGGAGGAGGAGGAGGAGCCGCAGGTCTATGTTATGTACGGCAAGTGAGGCAATTAGGCAACGATACCTGCCACACGTAATTTGTAAAGGAGGGGAAGGTGGATAGTGAATGTGTCTTACTCTACCCACCTGCATAATGAGGGTCTTCTGACTGGCTGCCGAGTCATACTTACAAGACAACAGGGATTCGATACAGACAAGGCCCCAAATACGGACAAAGAAACAGAGCGGATGACGGGACGTTGCCCTACTTCAGGTGGCACGTCCTGCGGCAACCCAGGAATGGAGATCCAATAAAAATAGCAATGCAGCCAACAAGGCGTTATTGAGGGAATAGAGAAAAGTCCAGTGAATAATTAGACAAAATATAAGAAGTAAAAAGTTAAAAACACGAGCAACATAGCACCGGTGGCTCTTCATCCTTGCTGAAGGAATGGTCATCTGATGCTGGACCGAGTCATGAAGTATAAAGTAACCAAACTATCAGAGAGCTGCATATATATAGTCTATCTTACAACACAGATATCATTTCCCAGACCAGAAAGCTGCTATAGACACATCAATCTTCTATAATCAAATCAATCTGGTTCGGTTACTCCTTCCAACGATGTTTCAAACTAAGGAACAGTGCACTGACTTGAATCAGCGATCCAGACCTCAAAGAAGTTAAGAAACATGCATTTCTCCCACTACGTGCTCTACTTGATTGCCGCCACCGCAATGGCCAATCCAATTCCAATCCCCGAGGCTGAGCCCAATGCAAACCCCGACATGGCCGTTATCGAACCGAAGAACTGTTGCCTGTGATGTGGAGGATCTATGATGAGGATGAAATAAAACTGCGGGGAGAAACCTAATCTGATATTTGGATATGATTACGGATGCCATCATGACATTATGGAGTATGAACTTTAAACCACGCTATAATCAATTTAATTATATACACAACATCTTCTATGGAAATGGTAGCCAGTCATCCCCATACCCAAAGTACTCTCGAATCTTAGGTATGTAAGGCGAATTATTAGGACAGTATTTAAATCTTTCCAAGTTAGACACAGTATCATCTCCAGGAAAAACATACCGATAGCATGGATCATGCTTTTCCACGAAGGACTGCATTTGATGCCAGTCGCGGCACATGCGCTTCTGTCCATCTCCAGGCTTGAATCCAGACACATTATTCAAAGGAATATATCGTAGGGTATCATCGGCCGCGCACATAGTCTCCACCCGGATGCTGTCCAGACAGTGTAAGATATGAGGATAAGTCACACTCTGAGGACGGTTGTAACGGTATTCCTCAATGGAAATGTATAGATTGCGCTAAAGCTCTCAATATTTGAGATTGAATTAAGCATATTGAAAGTACTTACAATGCAATGGAGGATATGATGCGCATTCAGTATATAGATCCCTTTCGTCACGTCCCATGGGAAAGACTGCGACTCAGGCAATCCCAACATATTGGCCTGTTGTTTGTCGATTGCGATGATCCCACTTTCCCATGGGATCTCATTATGCCAAAGACCACTGACTTCGCTCTCGTTTGGCCCGCTGTAGTTGGTGTTCCACCACATTGCGTTTTCTACTGTGAATCCAAGTTTCACTTCTTCCCGTTGGTATCTGGAACTGGCCCAGACAGGTTGCTTAGACGCAAACAATTCATCTCGACTTGATGTCCAACCAAGCACCAGGGCCACGTTAATCAATACAGAAATAAGGAGTATCCCAACTAGACAGTGGGAGTCCAACCGCGCCGGAAACACCGCTCGTTCTCGTGCCTCCCATGTCTTTTGAGCGTCATGGTCTGAAGGAAGCAGTTCATATTCCACTTCCTCTGCCTGTCTCATTTTCAGTTGTTTCCGCATACCACTGCGATCCTTAGGTGTCAGGCGTGTCTGGATGTCAGTAGTCAGCCGTCATTAAGACCAAGGTAATGAGACAGAGATGACGACCAGATCCAACAGGACAACCACAACAGTTGAAAACGTAGACCTCTGTTCTCATAGTTCAGCCCAATTCTGTACCCCGCCTTATCGTTCGGCCTTAAGTTATGCATGTGTTCTACAATCATACGAGGCTGACTAGACATTCTGGACACTAAACTCAAAGGACAATCCAATTGTGACACACGCTCCGTAGTCATGCACCATGTCAGCCTCATCCTTGCTTATGGAAAATATTTGTGACCTCCACACCAGACGAGGAGGGAACATATAAGCGGTTCAACGAAGGCAGCATATGTCCTCATGGAAAAGTTTCACAACTCACAAACCCGCAGATTCCTTAAGGTCCACCTCGATCCACCCACCGAAAGAGGCCCACCATGGCATCTAGTCCACAATGGACGCACCTCCAGTTTCCGCTCGCTTCAGCCGGCGAGGTGTTAGCAGCCGGTATCGTCCTCCCCATCGTCTGCCTCGCATGCGTAATGCTTCGTTTCGTCGCTCGAGGAAGTCAAAAGGTTCGCCCTGGTCTGGACGACTGGCTCCTCGTTCCTGCAGCGGTATCTCTCCCCCCCCTCCCACGATGCAGATAAGGCATACCGAAGTACGTCTGCTGACATATCTCCTCCCATGACTCAGATTATGGTAACTGGAATGGGCATATGCTTCATCTATGGTTAGTACCGGTGCCTCATACCTAAGATGGAAATCGCCCTACTAATATCTGCAAGGCTACTCGGTCCACGTAATGGGATACCCGACACCCTACCCCATGAGCGACGATCCCAAAAAGGCATTAGCGAAGTACAACCACGCCTACGAAACCGAAGCCAAGATCGAATTCTACTTCCAGCTCTTCATGATCGCAGCATACGGCTTCATCAAAGCCAGCATCGTCCTCTTCTATCGTCGTATTTTCGTCTCGAACAAGAAATCCCGCTTTGCCATCATCTCCAACATCTGTCTCGCTGTAACGGTGGTGTGGGCCGTGGCATTCTTCCTCCTGTTTTTATTCGGCTGCAAGACAAAAGTCTACCTCCATTGGGCGCCTCTCCAGGAAGTAAGGGATCAATGTGGAGACCCCCTTGCTGCCGAAACGGCCCTGGTCGTCTCAGACCTCATCACTGATTTGGCGATCCTGCTCCTCCCCTTTCCGAAGGTATGAATCGATCATCTGGGATAATGCTACCATTTTGAGCTCACGATGACATGCAGATATGGGCACTCCAAATGTCTGTGCGACGGAAGATTGCCCTGAGTTGTATATTCGGGGTGGGGTTGATGTAAGGCTTCCCTTTCAGATTCTAGTGTATGTGACTCGTTACTGATTACCGTTTCCCACTAGGGCGCTGTCAGCCTCCATCGTGAGACTGGCCATTTACCTGATTGTCTTTCTGGTGGGGTATGAGGCTGGATATGACCCCGATCGTGAGTTTCCCCTTACCTGAATAGAGAACATAATCTAATGTGCCAGAAACCGTGACCACAATGCTCTGGTGGAGCATGATCGAAGCCAGTTTGGGTTTAATCGCCGCATGCTTACCCACCCTCCGTCCAGTGATTTACTCCGCACGAGGTTGGCTCCTCCGTGAAGGCCGAATGGGCTTTTCTGGTCGGTGGAGTCGAAAGCTTGCATCCACAGGCGATCGAACATCCGTCGGTGGGACAGGGACATCGTCGGTGGATGCGAATAAGTCTAGCTCGGTTGTTATCCAGGAGCCCAGAACGATGGTGTAGTAGTACGTTTGGGGAATAGCTTTCTACTTGTTTCATTTGTGCATTTGCCATACATGTGTTAGGTTTTTTTTTTTTTTTTTTTTCTTTTCAGATACCTCGTATATCTTTTGCTCGTATCCCAGATTAGTTGCTAGTAATATGACACGCACCTTTTCTTTGACCATGACCATGGCTGTCGTTTCATCCAAAGGATAAAGTACCATCTTTGATAGAATATAATACACAGGATACATACCCAAACCAAAATGCCCCTCATTGTCTCTCGCGCAAATCTAACCCAAGACTGGGACGAACTAATAACCACCTACTGGACTGCGTGGAGCTCTCCTCTCCAAGCTGTCGGCGAACTCACCTTCGCCCATCTGGGGGAAGGCAACGACGCAGAAAAGACAGCCCTTGCCGACGTGAAAAAATCCTTACGTCAAGCGGCGGAATCCGACCAGAACATCATCTGGTTGAAATGCCACGATACTGAATCCGGGCGGATTGTCGCCGGAGGAATGTATCACATTCATCATAGTAATCCGTACCGAGCGGGGGCACCGAGGGTTGAGGCGAAGTGGTTTCCAGAGGGAAGTGAGATGAGGTTGTTGGCTGAGGAGTTCTATACACAGTTGTGGGCATGGAGAGGCAGGATGATGGGGGATAGGCATGTTTGTAGGTCTTCGCTTTCTTTCCCGAGTGCTTATTTTTGTTTTTATTATTATTATTATTGTTATTTCTTTTTATTTTTATTTTTATTTTTTTTTTAAGTTTCACTTTTGCTCTTTGTGTTTGTTGGTTGTTGATTGACTGTGAGCACAGGTGGGAATGCGCTCTGGGCACTGCCCGAGTATCGCTCGCAGGGCGCGACAGAGCTTATTATGGACGAGTTTGTCCGCCACAAGGATGCGCTGGGCATGGAGGGTTATCTTGAGGCCACAGACATGGGGTTCGAACTGTATCAACGGTATGGGTTTGTGGCTGTCGCGCGACCGCACATGAGTTTCTCCGAGGTGAAGGGGCGGAGCGCGCAAGGGAGGAGATTAATCCACGACATCCAGGCGCATCCGGTCTGGATTATGTGGAGGCCAGCAGGGGGCGAATACAGGGATGGGGAGACGGTGCTCCCATGGGAAGGAAAGCCAAGACACACCAAGTTGTGAGAATAAAGAACAGAACTTGAAATCTAATGCTAGAACAAAGAAATGATCGACATAGAGAGTGAATCTAGGCCTCGTTAACCCCTGTTGAGCAACGGTCTCTTTCCTTTGTCCCATCACTCGTCGGCTCATCCTTCGTCGGCTCTTTGTCTGTTGGTTCTGGCTTGGCTTTTTTCATGGAGATCCATGGTGTGAGACAGGCCCCGAGCACGGATGCACAGCTGAGTGCCATTGGGATGTAGAGCGTCCTTGCAATTGCGGTACTGTATGCTTCTAAGACGTGTGGCATGTCTTGAGTGTCTACGAACTGACTCAGCTGTGTCGCGCCCAGCTTCGTGAGCTTTGAAGGGTCAACACCTGGCGCCAGTGACCGCACGGTGTGCGCAAGGGTGTTTTGAAAGACTCCCTGAGCTACAGCGACGAAGATAGCGGAGCTCAAGTGCTGAACGAGGGTCACTAAAGTCACCCCGATCGGGATGTCTGCCTCGGACAAGACGGTTTGCACGACGTAACTGGGTTGACCAAACCCTAGCCCGACACCAATGCCATACAGCGCCTGGTACCCAATCAGGCGCCCGTTGGAGGTGCCAGTCGATAGGGTCGATAATAGACCGGCACCAACGCTCGCCAGGATAGTCCCGAGAATCATTGGTGGATTGTAATAGCCAGCCCCGGAAGTTAGGACTCCAGCAATCACCGAGAATACGACATAGCCCACGATCAATGGAGTCAGCATGATCCCGGCGTCCAGGGCTGATTTGTGTTGTACCGCTTGCACCCACACTGGAATGTAGACTATGGCAACGTAGATTCCTCCCGTGATACACATGGCGTATCCGACAGCATGCCATACCGATGCATGTCTCGAAACACTGCGGGGGATGGTTTTGGACCCGGGGACAAATATCTGAAGGAGAACAAAACAGACCATGAGAAGTACAGCCACCACCAACAATGCAATAATTCTTCCACTATTCCAGGGATATTGGGTGCCGCCCCATTGGAGCGCCAGAAGCAAGCAAACGATACCACCCATCATGCTGACCATCCCAAAGAAGTCAAACTGGCGGACTCGCGCCCACAGTGACAGTGATGCAATCGAGGAGTCCACCGGCGTGTTAACAAGCAAAAAGCATACCAAGATGCTCAAACCACCCAGTGGTAGATTGATGTAGAAGCACCATCGCCACGTAGACCTGTCTGTAAACGCTCCCCCGATAAAAGGTCCTACAATGGCAGCAACGCCAAAGGCGGCGGACATGATACCCAGGTAGGAGGCACGGCGATCAAGCGGGATAATCTTCGTGGTGATCATAATCCCACCGGTGAAAATGCCAGCTGCCCCTGCGCCGGCAATCGCGCGACCGAAAATCATGGCGATGGAGTTCGGGGCCGTAGCGCAGACTAGAGAGCCCAGTTCAAAAATGCCGATCGCCGAAAGATAGACGATCTTAATTGAAAACAGACTGTAGAGCTTGCCATATGGAATCTGGAACACGCTGAGCATAGTCAGGTAGGCGGCGGTCCACCACCCCAGATCATCAATACTGTGGAACTCGGTCGTTAGTGACGGGGTCACTGTCGCGAGAATTGTTTGATCCTTGAAGGAACAATATCGATTTTAGCAATGTCAGCCGATATGAGACTGTTGATCTGCTTACCATCCCGGTCAAGAATACAGCAAGGCATAGCGAAACCATGACCAGGCTGAGGCGAATTGAGGAAAGGAATGAACCATCTGGAGAGCCCATGACGGTAAAGGTAGTCGTCCCCTGCTTGACTCCAGCCTGAATTGAGAAAAACAATGGAGAATAGCGTGGGTGACAGCTCTATTTATCCTCTGACAAGGTTTTATTTGCCATCCCTTGACTGTAAAATATTTATTCCAGTGCCTTGGCTCAGTCTAGTAATGTCATCTTGCTATTTGATATTTCTACTCTCATGTTCTGTTCTGTATTGGTCAAGTCACTCCAAGAGAAGGGCTTCTCGGCGGTCGGCCTCAAAAAATATTACCTCCACAGAGCACGCATTTCTTAAGGGATATGACAAACGAAAAATCTTCCCATTTGACCACCTCAGAATGTCCGGGCACTTTAGGCGTCTCAATAGGGTAATTTATAGGGTATTCTCAGGTTCACAGGATATATAATGATAGTATATAAAATTGCAAAATGGAAACAGAGAAAAATGCAACAGGAACTAACCTCCCCTTATGCGCGATTTACTCTAAGTGACTGGTGATTAATTCTAATCCCTGTTATATCACTAGCACAGATAATATCTGAACAGGGCTACTGATTGGTAAATTGTATTTCTATATTCAAGTTAATCTACTCCGTACACTTACCAACACCTGACTCACCGTAATATTATTAAGTTATAGACTGTTTGACTAACAGTAGTTTTGATACTTTTTCTTTTTTAATTGAAATAAAATCTCTGATATCTAGTATTGATTTATCTCGGAAAGTTAAAATTATTAATTCCAATAATCTCCCTTTTAGACATTTTCAATTATTAATAGCGGGCGTTGGGTATATAAGATGGCCTCCGGCCTAGACTGCTAGTTAATCTCTAACGGTATTTGTCCTTTTCCCCCTTAAGGTGTTCTGGGCAAGGATGGTGTATATAATTCTTTAAATTAATGATATATTCGTTTCAAGTTAAGCTGTGGTACATTAAGTGTATGTCCATTTTTCCAGAACCAATTACAAAAGAATCTGGAAGAACTGCAGCTACCACCAGGACTGGGACAAGAAGTAACGAAGTTGTTAGTTGATTTGAGGAATCTGCCATTGAGCTCTGAAACAAAGCAGAGGTATACAGAGACTCTTTCGGGCGCGTTCAGAGATTTGTGGTTCTTCTTCCTGGCTATATGCGCTTTTTCTCTGGCCCTCGGCTTTCATATACGACATTCTGCCCTGGACAGGGAACTGAAGTCGGACCATGTCCTGTAAAAAGCCGAGGGGTCCAAGGTGACATATACTGTTGATAAAATGGTAGGAGACAGCTAATATCGATCTTGCTATTCAGGCTTTGATAATTCTTTCTCTGACTTGGATCATCTATCCAGTATCTACTATAGGTTATCATTTTCTATATTAGCTGAGAACCTATCAGGTGATTAATTCTGGTAACGGAGTATTTAGATAGTATCCTTCCAGAAGAATCATTGGACATCCATGCACATCATTCCACCATGGTGGTGGACCTATGAGTAGACAACATGGGGATAGACGATAGTGTGAGCTTGTATAGGCTCCTGAGTGGCAAATCCTTTCGATGCACTGCTTTATACTTTTATGAATCAAGGCATGAGCAAGTAGACAGTGGATCTTCGTATACGGAATTCATACTGTTTTCGAAAACATTGATTTCCAAGCGACTTGATACCTGACTTGTATATAAAGAATAATTCAAGATCACGTTCCATCTCAAGAGTCAAGTCTTCTGACTCTACCTCATCTTCCTGCGCGTGTTATCCGCTTTCGAAATTCGAGCTGATGAACCTATCGAGATCCACCCTCTAAAGGGTGTTGCCGATCTCACAAGTCTGGTCTGCAAGCCGAGGGAATATAAGGTGCGGTTTGGTCCTCATGATGAACGAATTCTTATTAGTGAATTGGAGAGATGTTCTCCTTGAATCGGCGTGACAGTGACCTGTAATGCTGGTTGTTGGGAATTTTCCTTGTGCTTGTGCGGATATGAATGTCTTTTGGTAGTGGAAATATGGTTGGTTTTGGGTCTATTCAATTTAGCTCACGAAATTGATTCATGTTTCGACCCACCTGACCCACCAAGTCCCGATTACCTGATTCGCTTATTGTCGGACCCACACACATGATTCCTCCAATCCTCGTTCTTCTTTGCTCCTTCCTTAATACTCCCAGTCATAGATTTCCACTCACGACTCTCCCACATCCTAAGACAACGTCCTCATCAAACAGCTCGTCTCTTACTAGTGGATCTGGTGAATTTGTTACACCTCCACTGTTTCTCTTCCACCTCTGTTTCTCATCGCCAAACACCAGTGCTGCTGTCAAAGGACGCTGCATGCGAGATCGTGGTCTGCGTTCATTGTTTCAAGGATCACTTGCATCGTCACAGTTCCTCTACTGTCTTGACGCGCTGCAGTAGCAGCCGTCATCACTCATCTGTTTCGGTGTTACGCCTTTTCGTTCCCTTAAAATCATCATGGCGACGGAAACCCCTGCTATTGATGCTATCCCTGAGATATCGGATACTCGTCGAGTTGAGCTGATTCAAAAGATTAGTTCAATGGCACCAGATATTTCAAGCACCACTTGGGCGGTTTTATGGTTGTCGGACATAGAACAACTCGAGGACCTCTCGAATATGAAAGCAGGACTACTTTCAGCTACACTAACAGGACTAGTGGTTCCCACTCGTCAGATCCTACTGCAGTGTAAGTATTATACTCCTACCATCTTTCGAGTGCACATATACTAATTTATGCCAAGGGGCCAGCCGTGCCCGCAGTGTGGACTCCGACAAAACCTCAAAGAGGAAACGATCTGATTCGATCAAGGATACGGTAAGTCTTTATCTACTACCAGTCACGGTATATCTAGAAGGACGGCTAACAATAGTTAGTGTATCATACGCGATAAGTATTGTTTGCTCACGGGCAAAGGAGAGCCTGTTGAGATCGCTCATATCTATCCTTATAGCATGATGGGCAAGCCGAAGACTACACAGGAGCTGTTTTGGAGGCATCTGGAGTCCTTTTGGCACCCAGAAAGAATTGCGAGATGGAAGAAAACTGTGATGGACCCAAGCGGAGTCAAGGTGTTGGAGAATATCATGTGCCTCTCCCGCGACTCACACGGCTTGTGGGGTAAAGCTCGCTTTGCCCTGCAGCCACTTGAACTATCTGTCGATCGTAAAGCGTTGGCAGTACGGTTTTTCTGGATCCCTGTATCAAAATACATGAAGACAATGGGTCTTAAGACGACACCATTTCTCCCACCGAACCTCGGGCATACAGGACAAAGGATCAAGCTTTTCAATTGCGAGTCAGAAAAGCCAATCTGTTCAGGCGATGTTATAACCATGAAGACAAGTGATCCCGATGAATATCCACTTCCATCTTTCGAACTGTTGGAGATGCAATGGTTCTTGACTCGAGCATTGGGGTTGAGCGGTGCCGCCGATGTTGATCCAGCGGAGTGGGATAGTGACTCTGATGATGAGGAGGAAGAGGAGGAGCTGGTGGCTCGACCATGAGGTCGAGCACATAGCCTTCAGGAAAACAAGCACCCCCTCAAGGGCCTCGAGTAGAATGTCTAGCAAAGCAGCGCCAGGCTCACGCGATACGTCTCGTAACTTTAGCCTATTAGTTAGGAGTCAGCACTAGTTAGCAAATATGAATCCCGTTGTTGCGCTACCAGCTATAATTCTTAGAGAATTCTATAGATCTCAAGCTCCATGTATGATATGATTCTGGATAGATCACTACCTAGCCAGCATTTGGGTTGACGGTGTGTCGTCTCTTGAACACTAGCAAATCGTCAACACTCGATTCTGAGACTCTGATCAGGAAGATCTTCACCATCATACATCAAGAAGCTGAATCATTTCTTGATATCGACAGTGGTGGACGGTGTCTATGCTATACGCGTTGTCAATGCTAACCAGGCAGCTCAGGTGGAGCATGTTAGAAAGGTTTTTGAGTTATTGGTTAAATTGGCAGAAAGCTGTATTCTATCTGAAGAGATAAAGTGTTCACTCTCATCAATATATGAATAGACTTCAGTCAATCGGCTGTTCAGTTCAATATAGAAATACACATTACAACAGCTTATTCTAAATTCAGATCAATTGTTCTTCAATGGGGTATAATATCAGTTAAGTTAGTAGGAACGCCTTGTCTACCCGTTGGCATAGCTTTCATGAATTACTTGGCATGTCTAACAGATATGCCTTTCACGCCCCCTAAAGCCGGCATTCCACTTGTCTTGATAGACGGAGAACGCCCCGAGTGGACCAGCTACAAAGTTTAGTCTTCCACTAGGATGAATGAGTAGCTTACAGACCCAAGGGATGAGCATCGGCAGGTAGATTCGGTATTCAACCTCCACATCCCGACAGATTAAAATCTCCCCCGCAGTCTTGGCTGCGCTAGCAGAGTGCTTTCACCCTATCCCCGGAGACTCTGAGCGTACCCCGCAATGAGCCTTCATCTATATCGGAGTTTGAACTTGGTGCAGCAGCCAATCCGGTCGACGATATTTGGGTAATGCATTCATGTTTTCAGATGCCGACGTTTTTCAATAGCCGTCGAGGGTGTTAAAGTGCTATTTAAACAGCCTCAGTATGTTGATCTGGCCGGTTAATCTATCATAGAGGACATCGGAGGTATTCGTTGATGTAGACTCCATCCATCATCATGCAGATCTCAAGGGCTTTAAGATTCCTCTCTTTTATTTCGTATGCATTGTCTGTCCCTACAGACACACATACCCGCCATCTCCGCAATGAGCAGGATAGAGGACAATACTCGAAGGTCATGCTCAAGCCGCAGCAGACTACCACCCGAGACCTCATCTCGCTTGATGGGCTATGGGCATTTGCCCTGGCGTCTGACGACAACAGCACTCAACCATGGACAGGCCCATTGGACACCCATCTGGAATGCCCAGTCCCAGCATCCTACAATGATATCTTTGTAGACAGCAAGATCCACGATCACGTCGGATGGGTTTACTACCAGCGCGACGTGATTGTGCCAAAGGGCTGGTCCGAAGAACGGTACTTGGTGCGCAGCGAAGCCGCCACACACCATGGCCGGATCTACGTCAATGGCCAACTGGTCGCGGATCATGTCGGCGGCTACACGCCATTCGAGGCGGATATCACTGACCTTGTTGCTGCCGGAGAACAATTCCGCCTGACGATTGCCGTCAATAACGAACTCACGTACCAGACGATCCCGCCTGGGAAGGTGGAGGTTCTTGAAGCGACAGGTAAAAAAGTGCAGACTTATCAGCATGACTTTTATAATTATGCTGGGCTGGCGCGGTCTGTATGGCTGTATTCGGTGCCACAGCAGCACGTTCAGGATATCACCGTTCGGACGGATGCTGAAGGGACCACGGGCTTGATTGACTACAACGTTGTGGCTAGTACGACAGAAGGGACGATTCAGATCAAGGTGCTAGACGAGGATGGTACAACTGTAGCAACAAGCTCAGGATCGAACGGAACCATTCAGATTCCGTCTGTCCACCTCTGGCAACCCGGTGCCGCATATCTCTACCAATTCCACGCCAGCATCGTCGACTCTTCCAATAAGACTATCGATACATACAAACTAGCAACTGGCATCCGTACGGTGAAAGTACAAGGCACACAGTTTCTCATCAACGACAAACCCTTTTACTTCACTGGGTTCGGCAAACACGAGGACACTGCCGTCCGAGGCAAAGGTCACGACCAGGCCTACATGGTGCACGACTTCCAACTCCTGCACTGGATGGGAGCCAACTCCTTCCGTACCTCGCACTACCCATACGCGGAGGAGGTCATGGAATACGCAGATCGGCAAGGCATCGTGGTAATCGATGAAACACCCGCTGTCGGTCTAGCATTCTCCATAGGAGCAGGAGCCCAGACGTCCAACCCGCCGGCTACATTCAGCCCAGACCGCATAAACAACAAGACTCGCGAAGCACACGCGCAGGCTATCCGTGAGCTTATCCACCGTGACAAAAACCATCCAAGCGTGGTGATGTGGTCTATCGCCAACGAGCCCGCGTCCAATGAGGATGGCGCCCGTGAATACTTCGCTCCTCTGCCAAAGCTGGCTCGTCAGCTCGACTCGACGCGTCCTGTCACCTTTGCCAATGTGGGTCTTGCGACCTATAAGGCAGACCGTATCTCAGATCTCTTTGACGTGCTGTGCCTGAACCGGTATTTTGGTTGGTACACTCAAACTGCTCAGCTCGACGAGGCCGAAGCCGCGCTGGAGGAGGAGCTCCGCGGATGGACTGAGAAGTATGACAAACCGATTATCATGACGGAATACGGAGCAGACACGGTGGCGGGACTGCACTCAGTCATGGTGACTCCCTGGAGCGAAGAGTTCCAGGTGGAGATGCTGGATATGTATCATCGCGTCTTTGATCGGTTTGAGGCCATGACGGGAGAGCATGTCTGGAATTTCGCGGACTTTCAGACCGCCATAGGGGTTAGCCGAGTCGATGGGAATAAAAAGGGTGTTTTTACTAGGGACCGGAGGCCAAAGGCTTCTGCTCATTTACTGAGGAAGAGATGGGCAAACTTTCATAATGGTACGGCTGAGGGAGGGAAGACCTTTTAGTGTGGAAAGGGAAGGGTTGATATTGAAATATGCTCGTACATAATATTACGCTTTAGGTATACCTGTCCTTCATATGAGAATTATCAAAGACAAATAGCACTCGGATTGCACGTCTGATGGTGCTTCTCCCTATGCATGAAATATCGGGACGAAATCTCTCCTTAGGTCTCAATTGATCAAGTCCAGCCGTATTCTATCGGGATCCGCAATAGTCCCACCATTTACTCCATACTCGAGTGCACAGCACTGCTGCTAACCAGTCTCGCCTATGAATAGCAAGTAATGGTGCATATTGGGGAACAATCCTGCTAATCCTCAAACCAAGGCCCATACATTCGGCGCGCATTACCCCTTGCTCGAGGAAAGTATCACGTTTTTGTCCGCTGCACTTTGGCAAATGACTTAATGTTGAATCCACTCGCACCCAGAATAATATGCATTACCGGGACTTGCATGTCGAGATTAGCTCTACTCCTACCGACAGACAGAGACATCTCGGCCAGGCCTTGATTGCTTTGAATGACTTCACTCATGACAAGCCTCGAGCTACCAAATGACTAGGTGACTTTCTAGTCATCACTGTCATTCACGAGTCGGCGCACTCGGTGGCGTTTGTCAGCCCAGAATACGAGACACTAATTGAGCCCTTTTCCTCTCCCGTCCCTTCCAACATTCAATCCGATAACCTCTAATTAGGCTGGAAGTATACCTGACAAAAGAGCAGCCGACATAGGATGTGTGTACATTGTCAATGGCAAGCGGGCCCCACAGACGTCGTCCGACCCGGCCTGCATGGGTGCAATCGCCAAAGGGACACAGGGGTTTGACGCAGACAGAAACTCCCAGGGACACAAGGACGCACACGCATTTGCTATGTATGCCATGGGCAAGCGTAATCTCATCCACCTTCAAATCAGCCTACTTGTCCTCCTTGCTAACGTTATCTATCTAGTAACCTGGGTGAATTCGTTGTACTGGTATAAAGGGTATATGCCCAAGATGAGGGGCTAATGCTCAAAGTTGATTACAAACTTCCAGGACTGTGCGCACAACACACTTAGGCACGTCTTCGCTGCTCATTTGTAATACTGACAGTAGCTATCTCAATTAGGGCCGTTGGCAGGTGTTTGAACTCTTGCTGCTGGTTAACATGTATAAATACAGAGACAATGACTGTATGAACTGTGAATCCACAAAGGTTCTAAACAGGGCTTTTTTCAGTGACCTATGTCGCACTTCGTCTATTAGTGATCAAAGATCTTCGTATTCCTCTTCCCACGGTAGAGGCTGTGGATGCTTAGAACTGGGACCGCGTAACCCGCCACCCTCGTCGAGCGTAGTTTTGGTAGTCGGCCAACTATCATAATGAAATTTAGAAGTTTCCCCCTCGGACGATCAACAAGTTGAACGAGTTATGGGCTATAAAGCGATAGGTCACCTGACAGGGTGATCCGGCATCACATGTTCCGAAAACTGGTTTCTCTTATAGCCTGAGATGTAGGGATTAGATTGACTTCGATAATACCATAGAGTATGGTATCAAGATAAATAGATCTACGGTATGCCTTCTATATATCTTTACGCTCTCCGATTTTAGCCATAACACCTATTACCAACAACCTTGGACTACCTTTGACCACCAGGTCAAGATATATATAATCATTTTTTTGAACACCCTCATTACTTCGAGGAAGACAAAACACGCTCTCGCACCACCAGTATGGACTCTGATATAAACTTACCTAAGGAGTAGTGAGCTCGAGTAGTAGAGAATTGGCCTTGCGGTTCAAAATAGCAGCGTACCATTGTTGCAGATGGAATAGTGAACGGGTTCTGTTTACTGTGAGTACTGACTTACTCAAGTCAGAAACTGATACGTAGATCTCTTCGGAAAAGATCGGTTGTAATAAGGAATTTTGTTGTCTTGTTATTACACACTAGAATCCTCTCAATATAGTAAAGCCTTGGAGAGAATAGCACGCCCCGAATGCAACGACACCAGCCCCATTTACGAACATCCATAGAAAGACTGGAACTGAAGTGTAGAATAACTGTAACACCAACCAGGCGAAGATAGTTCTTGCTGCCTTCTTTTCCATACAGACCTCGAGTTCCTCTCTTTTTCGTGGCTAATTTTATTGATTGCCAGGCATATCGGTAAACAACTGCAGGTTCTGCCTTTCAAAGTCTGACAACCTTTCCCAAAGTGTCTGGGTAATTCCTTCATGAAAGTTGTAAGAGGTTCCAACTATTCTGTACAGTTTGAATACCGGACGAACTTTCGAAAAATGCCAGTCTGAAGATGTCCAGGCCGGTTTCAAAGGCCATGGCAGTCGGAGGGTAGAGATAAAGCGTCCCCGATGAACATTATCCGAGCTCTTTCCCCACTAACAGAGTGGGCTGGACTTGCCGTTCCTTTTGCTAGATGAACAACCACATCCACAGGGGCCTCATCTGTCGTTGAGGTTGTAGCGCTGATAAGATAGGATAAATCTGTGGCACGAGGAGTTATAAGAATAAAAGAAAAATGAACAAAAAAAAAAAAAAGCACAAGAGAAGAGAAGAGTAGTAGGGAGCCATGCCCAGATACCCAGGTATCAAATTCTATTGATATATATAGGGGCTTAATCTGGACATGGGGGACCAGTCTAGGAACACAAGCCACTGTTGCCTGCCTATCTAGAAAGCATAGTTAATTAGCAATCAATTCAAGCTACTGAAGATTAAGGTACAGCGTGGTCGAGATTATCTAAGCCCTAAACCTAATTAGGAAGAGTATCCTGTGCCCGCCCTAAGAAAAGGGACATAAATAGGACGAAATATCTCTCCACCTTGTTGCCTATCATCCCCACCATCGAAAAAAAAAAAAGTCCCCGTCATGTCCAGCCCTTTAATCGTGCTCCCGCGCCCCGGGACGGCGCCATCCAGCGACGCAGCCCAGCCCATCCCAGCCCCATCGGAAGCCGCCTTTGTCGCAACCTTCGGCAACCGGCTTCCCCCAGCATCATATTTACAAACACCCCATGGCAAAGCAGCATACTACGAGCTACTACCGTCATCTTCCACTTCCACAGATGGCCCACAGCGCGTATCCCGTGTGTTATTTGTCCACGGTGTGCAGACGCCCGCAATCGGCCTCCAGCCATTAGCCAGCGCACTGTCATCGCGTTTCCCATCAGCTCACTGTGTCCTAGTCGACCTGTGGGGCCACGGACTCACAGAAACACCGTTTGTGGCACATGACCCGGCTCTCTTTCATGGATTATTGGAGGCCTTATTAGTGCATCTTGGGTGGGCTGATGCTCATTTCATTGGCTATTCTTTTGGCGGGTCCACAACTGCAAGCTTCGCAGCGGCGCACCCCGAGCGCGTCGCTTCGATTGGTTTGGTTGCTCCGGCAGGTCTACGCCGCACTGCCTTGCTCAATAAGGTGCAGAGGGATTACTTGCGTGGTGGGGAGGAGTTGGAAAAGGCGGCGCGGGATTGGATTCTGGAAGTGTTGGAAGGTGGCCGGTTGGTTGTGCCTTCAGATTGGAAGGAGAGGGTTGGACGAGGTGAAGTTGTGGCAGAGGCTGTGAGGGACTGGGAGATAAAAGAGCATGCAGGGCATGTCGCTAGCGTAGTGGCTATTTTTAGGGATGGTGGGGTTTTCGATAAACATGCTGAGTTTGCGAAAGCGGCGATGACGGGGATCAAATGTCGATGTGTTTTGGGAGAGTTGGATGACTTGTGTAGCATGCAGGACTTGCATGAGTTAGGGTTGCGGGATGTTGTGGTTGTGCCTCAGGTTGGCCATGGAGTGGTTAGGGAAAGGGTACCGGAGGTCGCGGGGTTTATTGAAGATTTCTGGAATAGGCTCTAGGAACGAGATATTCTTTTTATGGTGAATGTTTGCTGTGTCCTTGCATTTAGTAATCGCATCCTTTGATATGTTTCATTCAAAACACGAGTTTGAAAGAAGGCTTCAGGCAAGAGGTAAATACTTCCGCACACAGACTGCTTCCATATCATCCCCATCGACGTCAATGACGCAGGCTGCATAGTACGGCTTACTATTTATCTCTTTATGTATTCCTAATGGTCGATCTTTGCGTGCGCCGTGCTGTCTATGACGCCATCTGCAACTCATGAGTTCACAGCACGAAGAAGCACAGAAAATCAAATTAAAATAATATTCTAGAATTTCTAAAGGAAGAATAAACAAAACAACTTTTGTTACTATTTGGATATGTCCGTTACAGCTAGTCGAATACCTTAGATCAAGGTTGGGTGGTGATAGTTCCATCTTTTATTGGATAGGTTAGCTCAATGCTGCCCGTTCGACGCAATCAAGGCTTCACGCTCTTGAAAGGGTTGAAAGGTATATTTTATTGAAGGAAAGTCGACAGGTTTTCTACGATACAAGCTTCTGGTCTTTTGAAGAATGTTAAAAGTCGCACATCTCTCACGAACAAGAAGGAAGAAACATGTTAACGTCCTAAGCCAACTCTTGGACCGAGGTATATATCCGGCATTCCCATGAATCATGATCACACGTCTCAGTTCACCCCTCACTAGTCTCACTGTAAACAAACAATTCTAGAAGCCAGTCCGCAGTGACTAGATGAAAGAGGGGCTTGGCCCCAAGCTCCGGGAAAACCGACCGAGAAATTCCTGGTGCGTTCTTTATCTGCCAAACCCGCGTCTTGCTTCAAGACAAGCTACAAGTCAATCATGGATATGCAGACGAGATGTATGTGGGAAGCCCTCTAAACACTCACCAATCAGTAAGATTCTACTCAACAGTTGATGTAATAGAAAAGTATATGTGCTGCGTTAATGGAACCCGGTTCCATCCGTTAACCATGAAAACCCGCGTAACTGGTCACGAAGCGTCCTCGCACGAGCATGTCTTGGTGGGGATGAATCAAGAGATATGGAGACCACCCCTGTCTCGGAGATTTCTCTACCTGTTACGGGGAATTTCTCTATATGACATGCCATACAATTTGAAGCCAGTCTAAGACATCATAGAGGAATAGGAAAGCTTTTTCAGGGCTCAACCTAAGTGACTTATTCAAAGCGTGTCGGATTACACCGATGATGTTCCGAACTACGGTCCGTATAACAGCCGTACTATGTTTGACCTTGAGGAAGAATATAATAGTCAAATTAGTTTCCTGCCATGAGAGGCGGCCTTTGATTTTCATTCAATGAAGTAAGAGTATTTACATGAACACAATATGTGGAGCCGATAATATACAGCTGTAATATGCCATGCGCTTATTGGAATGGATATTATAATTATACTGTATCCTTGGCTGACGTGGCATTGAAATTTGGAGATGGGCCCCAAGGCCATCCACGGCGGTCCGTGGAGATTTGGGAGCACGGAAAGAAGGGCTGAGCCCTGACTGGAACCCTCCCCATCGCTCGGCACGGTGCCGATCGGCGCTACTAGTGTTTTGAGTTGATGGTAACCCTAACGCCTAGTTTCTCTCACGCCACGGTTCTTGTTTAATCTCCCTGGAGTCCACTGGTTCGGCCACAAAGCCCTATAGTACTAAGCAAAGGCTATATGAGGCTGTGTTCTAGAATAAAGTTTCGAAAGTTGGGCCCGCCGTTAAAGTAGGATTAGTCCCCCCAACCCCTGTTTGATTCTGTTTCCCCGTTGACCTCCCTTTCCTGGTCATGCCCTGTTTTTGGAGACAGATTGTCTTGTTGCCAACCAATGTCAGTATTCTTTTTTCTTTTTCTTTTTTTTTTTTTTTTAATTTTACTATTCAAGAATTAGTTGCGGTAGTAACAGGAATCCGGATAGGCCGGCTTCTGTAGAACCATTCCAAGACAGTGTCTGAGCCCTTGGTCCTTGCTTTTAGCTATACGGGGGCTCTCGTATTGGGTTTAAAGGTAAAGATGGCTGATCCTATCCGTTATAGATTACATATTACCGGCTGATTAGTTCTACTCTATACAAAAGAGTCAATTAGTGGAGAAATGGCGCAGTGTCGGAGATCGAACCCGGACAATTAGATCGTCTAGTTTTCCAGGGACCAGAGGACCCCTAGTCTTGGCTTATTTACGAACGGATGTTTAGAACTGAAATGTCTCATCCTTCGTACCATGGACCCACTTGCTCCCTAAATTTCCATTCGGTTGTTACCGCGTTATCCTTTGCTTTGCTTCTGATATGGTAGTAAACAGCCGAAAGTTTAAAGGGCTGGAGATCTCTCGTAGTTTCCGCAGTCATTTCTGAAAAATCTTTGCTCAAGGAAACAATATTTGTAAATAATTCTTTGCCCGCTATGAAGCTCTTGTCAGTCACTATTGCTGCCCTCTTGGGCCTTGCCCAGCTCGGTGTCGCCCAGAAGGTTTCCGGTGCCGCCCAAGGCTTCGCGTCTGGCGTGACGGGTGGTGGTAACGCTGCACCTCAGACCCCGAAAGATATCAACGAACTCAAGAAGTTGCTCGCCGACCCCTCCCCTCGTGTGATTGTCCTCGACAAGTTATACGACTACACAGGAACAGAGGGTACCTCGAAGGGGACCGTGTGTGCGAACTGGGGAGAGGGCGCAAAATGCCAGAAGATCATCCAGGACGACTGCGGAAGTGCTGGCAAATCCACTGGCACCTGGGACACCGCTGCCAAGACCCCCATTGATGTTGCCTCGCACAAGACCATTATTGGTGTTGGTAACAAGGGTATTATCAAGGGCAAGGGTCTGAGATTCCGCGGTGGCGCTACCAACATCATCGTCCAGAACATCCAGATCACTGACCTGAACCCCCAGTATGTGTGGGGCGGTGATGCCATCTCCTTCGATGGTGCTGATCTGATCTGGGTTGACCATGTTACAGTATGTTTATCTTCATCTCCTTCATGGCCAAATACTAATAACATATAGACTGCTCGTATTGGACGCCAGCACTATGTCTTTGGCTTCAACACCAGCAAGCGTGTGACTCTTTCCAACAACTTCATCAACGGTGAAAGTCCCTTCTCCGCCGGATGCAACGGATACCACTACTGGACCTTCGAGATGGTGGGCAAGGGAGACCAGATCACTCTGCAGAACAACCACATTTATCACACCTCTGGCCGCAGCCCTGCCCTGAGTGGAGGCACCCTCCTGCACGCCGTCAACAACGTCTGGGACGGCAACACTGGCCACGCTCTTGAGGGAGGTGAGGCTACTGCTAAGGGTATCTTCGAGGGTAACGTCTTCACCGATGTCAAGGCCATTGTCGCCGACTTCAAGGGCAAGGCTTTCTTCTCCCCCGATCCCAATTCCAACAAGCAGTGCAGCTCCGCCCTTGGCCGCGCCTGCGAGGTCAACGATCTCGCCAACTCCGGTACTCTTCCTCCTCTCAAGGACACTTCGTTCTTCGGTGACTTCAAGGGCCTCAAGATTGCCCCTGCTACCCCGGCTTCTCAGGCCAAGGTCAACGTCCCCAAGAACGCTGGTGCGGGCAAGATCTAATTTTCTCTTCGTGTACATATGACCACACATCTTTGTATCCTTGTGTATATTACCTTTCCTCTGCACACCAGTGCTTGTCCATAGAACCTTGAATCGAACAGGGGGCTTACTCCCTTCTGCAGATTGATCTGGTCAACACATTGTGATGAAGATATCACCTATTATGATTACTCCAACGTAATGGTAGAAAGCCCTTTGATCTTCCCAATCAACCACAGAGTAAAAATGGCAGAAGATCTACCTTTTCACCTAAGTATATCCATCGGCCATTAGCAGACTTGTTAAGGCCTGCTTGCTGTATTAATATCAGATCGTTCTAGTGAACACTGTGTACGAGAGGATTAAATCTACTGTGTTACCAAGCTTTGTAAATATTTCAGAGAAATGGGTCTTATGGTGTTCAAGGTATTAACATTTTCAACAGTTCCAGAGTGATTGAACCGAAATGACTTTTCTCTTGGTGCTATAGATATATAAGATGTGGAACTACATATTCTCAACAAATTATATGAGTGACTGGGAATTAATCACCAACGTAGTTGCTTGGCTTTCTCATTCCCGTGGTAATGAGACTGCGAAGGCAACTATATCGATAGGCGCATTCTGCCACTGTTAAACAGGGTGTTTCTCATAGCTTGAAGTGGAAGGTCTTTTGCCTGATGCCATATATTCCTCCGCAGCCAACCAACTAGCACATACGAACATAGGGTGTGGAGAACAGGGCTTCCCATCCGCTCAGACGTACTTAAGCCACAGTTATCAATGCGATTAGAAGTACAATGGGCCCCGCGTGCGTTGCTGCTCTTAGGGGTGATAGGCACTAAGTCTTGGGTGAGTGCAGGTGAGATGGGTGAGAGTGAAGAGTTCACCAAAGGTCAGGGGCCTGCTATAATCTCTCCAAGCTTAAGATAGATAGCGAGGCTTTTCCTACGTTCATCCGACACCTTTTAAACCTACGTCCGATACATTTATCCTCACTATCTATATTCTTCCCATTCTCATAACTCACTTGACCAAATGGCACAACCCAAAGAAGATTTGAAACATCAGAAGCCTGCGATACTTCAGAAGTTCGCAGAATCGCGTGGATTCACAGAAGAATACCAACAGGGGCTAACGAACAAAGAGAATGTTGCCAGCACCGTCGATAACTCGAGAATGTTGGAAGAGTCTGGTCCACCCCCAAAGTTGAAATGGATGATATTACGAGATGCCCTAAACCCAATTTGGCGGACCTTGCAAAATGCAGATTGGCGGCATTGGCTTGCCATACCCTCGTGGGCTCCGGACCTCCGACAATCCGGAGATCCGCACGGCAAAGCAGGGGCCGCCTTCGGGAACAGTATCCGATAAGTTAGTTCATTGGTCCCTATGGAGTCAACTTTATAAGTTTCCTACTATCACCAGCTCACCATTCCACATTGGGTCTCGGCATCTTCTCTCTATACGAAAACTTTGAGGTGAATAATATCTCGGACACCTCTGCAATTTTGAATCCTTTGAAATTTGGAATCCCCGTGCAGGTTCGCTGACTACGACCCTATCGTGCTCGTCCTGCCACCTCGCTTTGCTGCCTATTAGCTCATCCATATCGCACCGACGAGCCCACATAACATCGAACGTTAAACTACAATGGCAGAAAGTATGAAGGCGTGGAAGCAGACCGCTACCGGCCCCATCGAGGAGAAGCTCAAGCTCGTTGACAACGCTGCGCGCCCTAATGCAGCCCTTAAGAATGGTGAAATCCTCGTCCGTGTTATCAGCGCTGGTCACAATCCGGCGGACTACAAGGTCATAGAAATGGGTCTCATCTCCCGCGTCGCCGTCAAGTTCCCCAAGGTGGCGGGTATGGACCTCAGCGGCGCTGTCGTGGCTGTGGCGGAGGGATTGTCGGATGTCAAAGTCGGTGACAACATCCTCGGTCGCATCGAACCCAGTAAGCAGTATGGTTCACTATCGCAATACGTGGTGCTACCACGAGATGGATACGCTGTGCTACCCAGTGGCGTGGACCCTGATTATGCTGCTGGGGTGCCTACCGCAGGGCTGACGGCGTACCAAAGCATCAAGCCCTATGTGAAATCCGGCGACCACGTTTTTATTAATGGCGGCTCCGGAGGAACAGGGACCTTTGGTATTCAAATTGCAAAGGCGCTTGGATGCCATATCACAACGTCTTGCTCAACTGCCAAGGTTGTCCTAGTTAAGAAACTGGGGGCTGACGCAGTAATCGATTACCGCGAGCGACGATATTGTAATGAAACTTGAAGCCGAGGGCCAAGTTTATGATCTAGTGGTGGATAATGTTGATAACTCACCAGAAGAGTTTTTCTCCAAGACGCCTAAATTCCTCAAGCCGGAGGGTTACTATATCGGTGTTGGAGGCTCTGCATCACTAACTACGGCCAAGAATATTGCCAACGGCCTGCTGAGGCCGACCTTACTAGGTGGCACGCCACGCAAGTTCGTGCCGTACTTCACCAAAAATGTACACGAGGACTATGAACAGCTGGCAAAGTGGCTCGCTGACGGGACCATGACAACAATAATCGAGTCAACCTGTGAATTTGAGCAGGCGATTGAGGCCTTGAAGTATCTGAAGAAGGGATCCAGTGCGGGCAAAGTCATTGTGCACGTCTCGCCCAAGGTGTGAGGATGTGTCCCGTCGTCATAGGTTTCAATGAACGACATAATATACTCGTATTTATTTTACTGGTTTTCCCGATCCCTCCTCCGGCAAGTGGAAACCATGGGCCTCAATCATGCTTGCGGTACCCGGATGGGTTTGCAACCTGGACAGGAAGGTACTATAAGGGGCCTAATATTTCTTTACATTTCAGCGGGTTATTCTCAACATTTCACTTGGAGTAGGCCATCCGGCTATAGCCATTAAGCATGCCCCATAACTAAATTTGCCTCGGGGATTGCAAAAAAACCTTGGAAATAGTGAGACTCACGCTGTTCAACATTTTCTTGATAGTGGCGTCAGCCCCAATCGTCATGTCGGAAGCAAAGTGTGACAAGAAAATCCTCCAATATCGTTTGCTTCTATGCACGGCCGAAGACGGTTTATTCAACTTCTTTTTGAAAGCGGTCCTACAGTTGACAAGACTGATGTTCATGGCCGAACTCCATCATTTTGGGCTGCTGAATATGGTTAGCTTCATACCGTGCAGTTACCGGTTAGCTACGGTGCAATGTTTAATGTTGAAATTAAAGAGTGGGATACCCCTCTTGGCTGGGTGAGTCACATTGGTACTAGAGACAAGATAGACGAAGTGCAAAGATAGTCTAATTTCCAAGAGCGCGAAGGTGAACATTAACCATACGTTCTGATGTTGAATAAAGCATCGAATGCAGGTGCAATGGCACATGCTGGAATTCAGACTAATGGCGAGGGCCCAAATTAGATTAATTGAATCTTTATGTTAAGCAACTAGGCATGTTTAAGAACTGAAGATGAAGGGCTATACCAGGCTGACTGATGTTTATAAACATCTAGGTAGGATTATTGTACATTGCAAGGAGGCCGCGGAGCCACGACTCTCTGGATTCATTGGGCTGTATAGCCAGGAGCTCTTCGCTAGAGGCCTGAACCTCTAAAAATTGATGTCCATTACACAACCGGATTTGAAGCCTCTCCAGGTAGTACTGGTCCACACACTGGCCACAGAGATCGATATCGGGACAGGTTTGACACACAAATCGTCCTTCTGTGACTGCCGGCTTCACTTTACAGAGATCGCACACAGCCCAGGTGCCGTCTGGCAAGCTAGGATCGACCTGCGCATCGTACAGAAATGCCATGCGGGCCGCAGAGGCATCATTCATGTAGAGCAGGCACTTTCCTAGCCGGTACGAGGCCGACTTTCCCTCCGTTAGAGCTCGAGTGGCAAGCACGGTGATGCCCTCCCTCAGGACTGATGTCTGCTTGTGTTCATCGCGTAAAGGAGCCGATTGGGGAGCATCTCCGATTAGCTTCGTCAGCGTCGGCGGATGTCGAGCGGCCCAGTCTATGGAGGATCGACCGAACCAGTCCAGTTGAAAACGGTCAGCTCCCAAGGATAACAGGAACTCGACGAGATCAGTCTGTCCAGCCGCTGCAGCCGCGTGCAGGGCGGATGACCCATCATAACACGCCGTCACATCCACGCCTCGTTCCACCATCAACTCAATAATGCCTCGGTGGCCCTTGGTCGCGGCCTTGGACAGGACAGTTCCTCCGCACCAGCATGGGCGAAGAAAATCAAACTTCTGGGCATCGGCCGCGTGCAGAAGAACTCGAAATGCATCGGCACTTCCCTGAACGGCGGCATAGTGCAGGGCCGTATGACCTCCGTCGCGATGGAGGGCACCTACTTCGGCGCCAGCATCCACCAGCACTTGTAGGAGATCTGCCTGGCCAGTCCAGGCAGCGAAATGCAGCGCCGTTCGTCCATCCCTCGGCGAGACGGACACGTCTGCCCCCATCTCCAGAAGCAAGCGGACGAATGCAATACGTCCATAAAGGGTCGCCAAATGAAGGGCGGTGTTCCCCGACGCATCCAGCGCATTGATCGTGGCACCTGCGCGACATAGCGAGGGGATGACATCAGGATTGTCGCCCGCTACGGCCACATGTAGGACGGTTCGATCATCCGGTCCTAGCACGCCGACCGCAGCACCATGGGCGAGCAGTGATTCCACGATCTCAATCGTTCCACAGTACGCGGCTAGCTGGAGGGCGTTATTCCCGTCATCCTCGACCAGATTCACATCGGCTCCGGCCTCCAGCAGCAACTGGATGACCTCGGCTCTTTGATAGATCACCGCAGTCAATAAGGCCGTGGTTTCCGCGTCCCCGCGCACATCCACCGGGATACCCTGATCCAGCAGGAATTTCACCACCTCCACACTGCCCGCGGCAGCTGCGTGGTGGATGGCCGCATCTCCCTGCTCATCGACGGTGGCGATATCGGCGCCGTGCTGGAGCAGGAGCTGGACCGCATCTAGGTGTCCGTGTGATGCCGCGATATGCAACGGGAGCAGATTCCCCTGGCGAAGGAGATGCGCGTCGGCATCGAACTCTAATAGGAGGCTAATCATGTCGCATCGTCCCTGATACGAGGCCAAGCGTAGCTTGGAGTTGATCGCCTCGTGGATCATGGGGTAGGCCGGATGGTCCCGGGCGATGCTGGCGCCAGCCTCGAGAAGGATCCTAGCCACTGATTGATGACCTCGCATCACCGCATCTTCCAACGCGCATCCCCACTCCCAGTTCTCCGTCGATTGGGTGGCCACATTCCCAGCGCCGGACGCGAGAAGCCGACGAAGGACCAGTTCCTGGTCATGGGCCACCGCCCATTGGAGGGGCGTGTGGCCATCATCATCAGGCAGGGAGACGGGCACGCCGGCTTCCAGCAAGACCGCGACGGTCTGCTCTTGCCCTGCTGCCGTGGCATCATGAATGGCAGCTCGGCCATTGATGAGCCTCGCGGGATTCGGGTCTCGCTCCACGAGCTTCTGGACGCAGGCGACTCGGCCAAGCGCAGCCGCCCATATCAGGGGCGTGTGGCCATCGTTCTGAATCAGCGTGGGTGCCCGGGCATACAGCTCCTGCGACAGGAGCTTGTGAAAACGATGGGCTGTCTGAATGAGGGCATTGAGGTCGGAGACACTGAGATACGACGCCACCTCCAGGATGATTTCGCCGGGTTGGTGGACAAACCACGGGGTACTAGACGATGCCATGGCAGTATGACGGGTGCGAAGGTGAAATAATGTCACGTCCACCATTCAACAAAGGATACAGGACAGGGAGGGTGGATGAGGTGTGAATACGAGCTGGAGGGGGGAGCGTAGGTGGTGGGTCTCAATCTAAGCCTGCCATTTGCTCGCCAGCCAGAGCTAGAATAATGATCGACATGTCGATCCGACCGGCCAAGTAGATATCTCGTGATAGATTAGGTATAGAATCAGTTGATATAGCCTTGCTGCCTCACCTGTGCACACTCGCTCTACCCTCGGCGGATCACTCTCCCAAGTTCTTCAAGACCTGTTCCAACATCAGTTGCTTTGTAGATTTCCACACATGCTCCACTGCTGTGAACTATGGGCCTGAAATTCTGCACTAGTGCAGAACGTCGCTTAACAAGCCTGCAGGTAAAGCCCACCGGCAATGGATTGTGGAGACACGCGCGCCCCGTATGGACTATGGCTTTTGAATACCTCGATCTCCGGCTGTAAGATATCGACTCCCACCCGGCGAGCAACTCTTCTACAATCCGCTCTAGCATTTCTCTGTCTGATTAAGGGTTTTCCTTACGGCTATTTGGGGTCTTTTACATGTCCCGACAAATACTTCAGCTCTATTTTATTCGGACATGAACTGATTTACTGACCGACCCTAAATCTGGCCGCCACTACCGTCAGTCCCATGCTATCATACTCGCTGCAGCGCTCGTACGCATCACCCAGCTATAGGTCGAGCAGGGCGTAACATATATCGTGAATTATATGTACAATGGAAACGTTAAGAAATGTAAGAACTATCTCTAAAGAAACAAATATGATCTTTTCTTTATCTATTTAACTGGTGAACGGAATAACCTCTTCTGGTGTTGCAGATATATATCTCGAGGCTTGGTGGCTTCTCCTGAATGTGCGACTATCTCCTTACTATGAAGGGTCACTACTATGTAACATTACACCAAATAGCCAGAAGATAGGTTTACACGACAAGTAATAAGTCCAGATCAGCAGCGGCGAACCTGGTGGCAACAGTTAACCGTCTTGCTGTAGAATGTATCCACTGGATTTGATAATTTGCGACATATACCGCAGTCACGCCTCTTAGCACGCTGATGACTGCAGTTGCTGTTGGTTCAATGCCTGCTAAAGGGGCCGACAGGTCCAACAAGAGCTTGAATATCCCCAGGGACACCTGTAAAGAACACAGATATCTTAAGCCTTAAGCCCCTGTTGAAGGCAGATTCTTGGGTTACCTCTCTCTCAAGCTGGTCCAGCTCTGTGAATAACTGTGCGATGGTCTTTTCCTTCAAGTATTGCCATATCTATTCCATCTTGTAGACTTTCAATCAAATCCTGTGCTTGCGGGTGCACCTCGGTCCCCTGCGATAAGATCAATACTATGTTGTTTGACAATGTTGCTGAATGATGGCTACAATTGTTTGCATTGGTTTTCGGTCATTCTATGTAAAGTAATTCGGTCTTTGCACTAGATGATGAACAGCCGTCAAGGCATCCACGATTTGTTGAATCGGCGGCGAAAGCTGGTCATAGACTTCATAGCCTGAAACCCAGAGTGTGTCTCCGCCAGTCTGGTTCTCGGGGACATGGGCGATTTCCATGATAGCGTAATCCGAGGGAACACATTCGAAGGATATGCTCTGACCAAACAATCGCTTATTTCACCCTCCTCTGCCTGATTCTGTTATAGGTAAAAGGTACCTACTCGGAATGCAACCCGCAGCTAGCAAGATGGCGAGTATTGTTTACGAACCTTTCGCCGTAGTACTCGCGATTCGTCTCCGAGGAGATGCTGTACGAACGTGTCCTTCGGGTAATGGGATAGATCCGTCACTTATGCTATTCGACTACGGTTTATGAATGGCATCAACTGCGCTGCCACGGATGTCTGTATTTTATGCAGAGGTACTTTACCAAGAAGTGGAAAACGTTCCACTGTAGTTATTACGCAGTCGATCCCTCGCTTCACCCAATAGACCAGCCCTGACCCAGCAATTCCAACTCCACTAATCAACATGTCTAGCTTTCCCATCGTTTTTAGTTATCAATAACAGGAGGACTCAACGACTATGACAACTCGATTGGATGAACTCCATTTCTCGGAATCGGCGTCGGTGTTACCGGATTGGGAAATTATTTAGCAAATCAGAATAGAGTATGCCGGAACTAGTACTAAAGAGGAAATTTATCAACCAATAAGAAGCTCCACATAGTTTCTGCCGGAAGAGGATCATTTCTAGAAATACTATATCTACTTAATTCAGTGGAGGGTGCTAGCGATATTTTACTTTGGTAGCACAGTTGAAACTCGACCTCTGTGCTTTTTGCTGAACTTAACTGAGTCACCACTTGCGTTTTCAATTTCTCCTTCGACGCATGAAACCGATATAACTCTCAGGACTTGAAGAGATAGGAATGCCTAAGGCATCAGGCATGGACAACAACTCGCATGAGGACAGCCAATACACCACAGACAACATGGCTTTTCATCGTCTAAATGAAGAAGTGAACTCGGAGAGTGCAAAGTATCCCTCGGGTTTAAAAGTAGCCCTAGTCTTTTGGGCTTTGTGCTTGACTGTATTCTTGGTGGCGCTGGTTCGTACTACACACTCGCTTCCCAGCAATGGATCAATCGCCTTTCGAAGGACAGAAGATTGGTGGCTAACAGTAGGGTTCTAATTAGGATCAAACAATCATTGCTACTGCAATCCCCACTATTACCTCCCAATTCCATAGCGTCGAAGACATCGGATGGTACGGTAGTGTCTTTCTCCTCACGAACTGCAGTTTCCAGCTCTTCTTTGGCAAGCTCTATACCTTATTTCCGCTCAGATGGACCTTTGTGAGCGCTGTATTGGTCTTTGAGGCTGGCTCCGCCATTTGTGGCGCGAGCCCTAACTCCGCCGCCCTCATCATAGGGCGAGCCATTGCTGGGATTGGAGGCGCTGGTATTTTCTCAGGCGCTCTGATTATCATCGCCAAATCAGTGCCCTTGTCGAAGCGACCAGCCTTTACTGGAATAATCGGCGCAGTATGGGGTATAGCAAGTGTGATTGGTCCCTTGTTAGGGGGGGCTTTTACAAGTGAGTCCTCATTGCCCTTCACCATTCGTTCAATTTGGTGCTAACATCAAGGCTACAATCCCAGCTCATGTATCTTGGCGCTGGTGCTTCTACAGTATGTCACACGTATTCTCTGATGTTCTTAGCAGGGTTTGAACCTGACCTGAGCCTAGTCAATTTGCCAATTGGTGCTATGGCCATCCCTTGCATTGTTCTTTTCCTCTCGCAAAAGCCGGAAACCAGGCTGAAGCCGAAAGGCTGGGCGACCTTAAGCCAATTCGATCCCGTCGGGACGATCTGTTTCGTTGCTTCCATTGTTTGTCTTTTGATTTCACTCCAATGGGGAGGAACCCAATATTCATGGAGAGATGGCCGCATGATTGCGCTACTGACGGTGTTCGGAGCGCTGATGATCATTTGGGTACTAACGCAATGGCGAGGCGGCGACAATGCGACAGTCCCCCTTCGTGTTCTGCGGCAGCGCACAGTTGCCTGTTCGACATTTTATATTTTCTTTGCTAGTGCGTCGTTTGTTTTACTCATATACTATTTGCCAATCTGGTATGTGTGGAAATTGCCCTCAAAGCCCACCCCCCCCCCCAAACTATCGGTTCTATCGCCTCTATTGATACTGAAGATTGAGGACAGGTTCCAAGCAATCAAGGGTGATTCTCCTGATCAGTCCGGTATCCATAACCTGCCCACTGTTCTGAGCGTCGGTAAGTATAGCGCTCCATGCAAGGCCTGATCAACTGAAGGAACAGCGCAAACTAAAACGAAGCAGTGATATTTGCAATCGTGAGTGGCCTGGGCGTCTCACTTGTGGGATATTACAGCCCATTTATGATCGCGGGTTCAATCATAATGGCAGTTGGCGCTGGGCTGTTTCTCACATTTAAAGTCGAAACACCAACATCGATGTGGTATGTGATTGTGGATTGACACTCGCAAGCTCTTCAGCTGAATGTATCTAGGTTTGGTTTCCAAGTTGTCTTCGGTGCGGGGGCTGGTATTGGAATGGAGCTTGCGAACATTGCTGTTCAGACAGTTCTTCCCGAGAAGGACGTCTCCGTCGGGACATCATTGGTGGTCTTTGCTCGCTCACTTGGAGGTGCCATCTTCGTCTCCGTAGGCCAGAATATTTTCGGAAACCACATTGTCACTGAAATGCGTGCACAAGTTCCTGAACTAGACCCTTCTATTGTCCTTCAGTCCGGAGCGACCGATCTTAGCCGCACAGTGACGCAAGCTATTTCGGGCCAGGCCGACACGGTAGTTGCTCAGGTCTTAGAGATATACAACAACGCGATCGTCCAGACCTTTGTCCTCGCTTTGGCTTTAGCCTGTGTCGCCATTACTGGTGCCATGGGCGTCGAATGGCGATCCGTGAAGGACAAACCCAAGGAACTAAAGTCGGAGGAAAATCCTGGACGCGTAACTAATCCTTGACATAATTTCATGTGAGTGGGTTGAAGCAAATCCGCCGGAAGAAGCAGCAACGGGGCTTGATGGGTTTAATAGTATCGATAGAATACGAGAATATGTACACTATAAATATGACCCTCTCGTCATGTAGAAATTCAGGAAATAGCCATGAGTGAAATCATGACACACGACTCTCATGACGGATGGCCATTCTGATGGAGCATGTCGACATTGAAGAATTCCCAAAACCAAGAGTCAGATGCTAGTTCACGCTGATATGGTTCAAACTCTGTACCCTCATTATGTATAAGAGGGTAATCCGAAGCTTTGGCAGGCTGGGTAAGCGTGTCAGACTGTCCAAGTCCATCCATTGGCTCAAGATGGGTTATTGTTGGCGTCTGTGTATGGGTCGAAGGGACACAAACAGTTGCCCTCGGCGCTGGTACTGCAGGGCTCAATGGCCCATCAGCGGTCCGGAATGGACGGCGTTCCGTCATTTCAGTTCCGTCAGATCGGGGCAAGGTCTTGGTTTTGTAACTGTGCCACCACTGCTTCAGCTGAGGCATGAATAGGAATGCCCTGCTCAAAGCACTGCGCTCATCTTTCGTAATGAGCCTCTTCGAAACAAGCACGAGGTGTTCAAGGTACATTTCTATTCGTAATTCGCTGGAAGTGACCCATTCGCTTATTTCCCGCCTTGATAATGTGATTGCTTTTTGTACTTTCAACAGAAGTATCATCGCATATATCACGCGGCCGCCATAGATATGCGGTGGTAAAGCAATCATGTCGGACGTGGATAATCTTAGGAAACAATCAAGCAGTCCTTGCGCCGCCCGTATGGTGGTGCGAAGCATAAAAAGGAAGGATGGGTCGAAAACGTGCGTGTCGATGAAGTTGCACGTCTCCAAGGACTTTAGGCTAAAAGGAGCCTTGAACTCAACGATGTTGTCGTTGACATGTAAGATAGGCTCATGTAGGTACAGTAAGCTAGCAAAGCTGCCAAATTCGACCAGAGCTGAATCACACGATTGTCATTTTTTGTACATCATGCCAACAGGGACGTACTTTCAAGGACGACACTCACATTTGTCAATAGAGGATATTTGGTTGAGAGGCAGGCTTTCGATTTGAGACTTGTGCTTTTGGACTTCCGTTGATATTTTCGGGTCAGATAAGAAGACGGAAGAGACTGGATCACTCAGGAATAGCTCTTTATTAATGGCGTGGCAGATAGACTCCGTTGTTACAATTGTGCAAAAGAACTCATCTGTGGGAGATACTTTGGCCCGTCGCAAATCGGCCACATAGTCATCATATTGCGCGCTCCAGGCGAGAGAAGTTGGCCGTCTCAATATTAAAGATAGACTAAAATATAGTCAGCTTTGATAATCACTGAAAAAAGAAAATTACGCAATAAATCCACCTTCCAGATAAAAGAAGACAACCGAGCCAAGCACGCTGTGCTTCCACCTGATCCCACAACTCCTCGGCTGTGCTGGCTGGCTTTGATGTGTCAATAGTATCCAACCCAAGATCTATGGCCATAGTTGTGGCAATAGAAGCCAACTGGCTCAGGTTCATTTGCTTATAATCATCTGGTGCTCTGTACCAAAAGGCTGCGACCTGAAGAGCTTGAACAAGCTCAAGCGACTTTTCACCACTAACAATCGCTCGGTCTGCAACATGAAACTTGGCTTTAACTGTCAAGTCTCTCTGCTGGGCGGGGGTGCAGTATCCAGCAGAAGCGATGCTGATTATTGACAGGAAGAGTAATGGCTTGGTCTCTCGCACAAGTGCAGCCGTTGTGCCAGTTGGAAACATAACAACCGGGCATTTCGGAGCGAAATTGTCTACGTACTGATGAAAGATCTGCTCCGCTATCTTTGGGTTGACGACAGAGTTCATCATGCGTCCAAATTGCTCGCTTCGACTGCAAGATAATGGGTGAGACGCTATTACAACTCATCAGCAGTTCTAGGATATGACCTAAAGGAAAAACGAGGGAATGCGGTTAATGAAACTCACAAAGTGTGGCGTTGGTGGGTTCTCCTTGAAAAGTCGCAGGTGCGTCCATGTCCAAGTCGTAATCAAGTTCAAGTCTCTCTGCTGTTCCTTGACGATCAAAGAAAGCTGTTCCGCTACGAGGTTGTTGCGCATGCAGTTTAGGACTGGGGGAGCATGAAGCTGCCCCAGTCGTAGGATTTTCGACGGAGCCTTTCTGCGATGGCGGATACAGAATACATTCTTTATTCCGCCGCAAGCATCGCAGGCATCCTCTCTTGTCTCCCGTAGTGAGCCTTTCGCAGCGAGACTTGGAGCTTCGGCATTCTATACAGGCTGTTCTCCGCCTCAAATAGGGGGTTGCTCTGATCTTCATGTCAGTCACACCACACGCCCCGTATTATGGCCTCATCAGGCTGACAGGTCCCCAACATTTTGCTGCAACGAACCCGTGAATCATTTATACGAGCAGACCGCTCAGGGTAACCAGCTGGTTCTAATCTGTCCCTTCCATGGCGTTCCGGAGATGTAATGCACATACTCTCATCCGATACTGCCTTGGGGGCAATTCCTGTACGTGCAGGATGCTGCACGTTGCCGTCTTGCCCCCTTGGCTGAGGTCGGGACACAGCAGCAGCGATAGGGACCGGGGCAGGGTGCCTGTTGGCAGCCTCTAACCTGAATCTCAGGAAAGCCATCTTGAGCTCATCCGTTGTATTATAATATGGGTTTTTATTACCGTCAAGCTCCCAGCAGAAGGTCTGATGTAAACTTAGAACTTTGCAGTGTTTGCATTCCTTTAGCCACAGCCTACGAAACCCTGTACCCTAACTTACTTACCGGTATCTTACAAACAACTCCTTCTGGGCGGGAAGGCAAGAGAAGTACCACCCAGGCCAGCAGGCGGTGGCCGGCGGCAGCAGAACGGCGATAAGCGCACGCTTTTGTCAAGGGGATTTAATAGTCCGTAGTTACGTGTTACCTCAGGCAACAAGGCTCCCATTGCCGGAATTCATGGCTATCGCCCTATGTACAGTAGATTTCGAATCGCGCAGGAAATATAATCTAGCTCATAATATGGTTGGGGTTCCTCATGTTGTCCTTGTGCTCGATCTGAAACTGCTATGGGAACGAGAATTACTAGTTTTCTACCGGACTATCGAACAATCAGATGATAAACATGACAGGCTCATGGTGGTTGTAAAATCACACTGGCCCATCAGTCAAGAGGCAAACCGGAAGTCAAGTCTGGGCGACGTTGTCAGCTTTTGGAACTTGTAAAGATAATTAGTCTGCAACCTACCGTTTATTGGTCATGACTGAGTTTTCTCGCAGATACTGTTGCTTCTGTTCACTCGTAAGGGCATTCCATTTCTCAGAATTTCGCCTGTTCATATCAGCAGCCGGGCAAGGATCTTTTTGATGGACTGCAGCGTACCTATTGCGCCAATCATAGTATAACTTTGCTCCTATGAAGAGGAAGAAGCTGACAACCGCCAATGCGATCGTGACCTTGTTTCCCTCTCTGTAATATGGCGCATCATCGGTTCGGTAGACCTATATATCCTAACGTTAGCACCTGATAAACACACACTAATCCATGGGGGAGCGTACGTTTGCAGCGGCAATGCTACTAATTTGTACAGACATATTGTACAAGGCAGAAGCGACCGTCCTTGTCCGGACAGACCCTGCATTCCGCGAGGTTAATGCCACCACCACGGGATGAATGCTGGGCCCTCCGACGGTGAGGGTTAGGATGGCAAATCGAGGCCAGGGCATGCTTTTCATCGGGAGTGTCTCGAGTGCGATCAGTAGGATCAAGTACCAAATCTCAACTGCGGCACCGAAGAGCAAACGCTGGTTGGTACGCTCTGCGAGCCAAGTGGTGGTGACCATCGTTATGATGCTGACGACAGCAGAAGGGATGACGAGTAAATTGGTTTGGAAGGTGGTGAATCCTTGCTGACGCAGTTGCAAGGTGAGGTAGTTGGTGGCCGGGGTATAGGGAATCATCCAAATCAAACCAAGAGCGTAGATCGGCCACATGTGGTAATCCTTTAATGAGTACCAGAGAAGCTTTGGTGTTACAGCTTGGCGATTGTGCATGGTGCCTTTACTTGGATCGTCGCGAATGACTCGATTCACCATGATCTTCTCTTCGCGCTCGTTGAACCATCCATCTTTCCCTCGGAGTCCACCTTTGGTCTGGGTTGGGCCTGCGGGCATCCAAAAAGCAGCGAGGATTCCAATGATACCAGTGGTAAGACCTTCGTACGCGAAGAGGTACCTCCAGGAACCGCCACCGTTGGAGTCCTTGATGTGGAGGAGGCCAAAGGCGAGAAATGCGCCAATGATGCTGGTCAGCGTGTATGAGATCCAGAAGCATGTAAGCCGCTTTGGAAGTTCGCTAGATTTGTAGAAAAACGACAAGAAGAGAATTGTATCGGGTATGAAGCCACCTTCAAGTAGTCCAAGCAAGGCACGGAGACCTAGGTAAGCTGACTTGGTCTTCAAGAATGACTGACACGCTGCAACTAAACTCCACGCCACCATCTGAATGGGAATCCAGCGATCGGGACCCAGTCGCTTGGAAATCAACTGCGAGGGCATTTCGGCAATCAAAAAACAGACCAAGAAGATGGTTTGACCAGTGTTGTAGTCATTGCTGGTCATTTTCAGGTCTTGCAACAAGGTATCCGACAACGCCTGGCCGATATTTCCTCGATCCAGTTGCAGTGCAAAGAAGGTAACACATGCGAATGTGCAGACACGCCAGTCAATCTATAGCCATAAGTCAGGTCCGTAAATAGGGATGATGAACTGTCCTACCTTTCTGACAATTTTCCTCTCTTCCTCTTCGGTCCATTCGAAGTTAGGGTCCCAGCGATGTATGCCCTCATAGCTGTCGATTGGGCGATAGAAGCGATGGTCTTCTGTTTCGAAGGTGCTTTTACCCGGGAGAGGTTGGCTCGGGTTCTCCTGGCGCTCTCTGTCGGAATCATATTTTATACTGGCCCCCGGAGAGTCAGTATCGACCTCGGTGGTAGAAACAGGCACCGTCTTTGGTTCGTCCCCAGCCATGTTTTCTTGAGTGCCAAAAGTTGGTGACAAAATCCATGGCCAATGTCTTTGGGCCTGAACACACAGCTTTATAACGATCTGCGCCTAATAACGACATATCGCCGTAGAGAATGTCGTGACTGCGCAGATGGATGAGATAATTCTTCGACGGCATCGCCTAACGCACGCACAACTCTATCTGGAGCGGGGTTTTAGGAGAATCTCGTAACAAAGCGCAATTGTCTAAAATCGTACTTATTGTTAAAGTATGAATTTTGTATAGCCACTGGTCAGAATCAAGTTTGGTGGAAATCTAGCCGACTCACGGTATACCAAGGCTTGCATCACCCCGCGATCTCACACGCAATCGTAGCGGGAAATGGCTCAATGTCCTCCCCTCGTTTCAAATGAACAAAAACTTGTAAAATCTAGAACGTTGACTGTCCAGATGTTGCGACCGAGCTAAGTTAAGTCTACTTTTCTAGCAGAATTTCGCAATCCGGCATTGTATTTGGTCTGGTAGGCCTACTTTGTAAGTCTACTAACACAAAATATATAATATTGAAATAGACACCAGCACATGATAGTTAAACTTCAGTTTTTTGAGTCGGTAACTACTTACACCGATCAGTACTTTTCTTATTAGCTTTAAAAGACAAAAAAAAAAAAAAAAAAGGGAACAAAACAATAGATTCATTGTGTACTGACTCTCCGGATGTCGGTTGCTAGAGCATCGGCTATCGGTGCTATGGCGACATCTAGAGCAACAATGGTGAAGAATAATGCGAGATTACTATCCATGCAATATCACTAGTCAACCTGTTATATTCCTACCTCTTATCTATCCTATGTACTGGACAGTTTGCACTTTTGTCAACATTAGTAGTAATCAAACTGGTAGGTAGCTATAATTATTATAGTATACAATACTGTGATCGTTCCAAAATGCCATAGAATATAGTTATGGATAATTGAAACTAGAACTCGCCGTAAAATCTTTAACTAATATGGAAGCCGAGGTGTAAGACGGAAAACACCGAGGTAACTGGAAGACAAGATAAGAAATACGACTCAATCCAACGTTTACCCCAGCATTCAACCCAGCAGTTCCTCCGTCATAACCTTATCAACTTCCTCAAGATACATCAGAATATCTGATCCTTCCTCAAAACCATCATTAAAGCTGTACACCAGCCGCAGTTGATCGCGAAACGTATAGATAAATAACATGCTCATACCAAGGACCGTCTCAGCCCCAAACATGAAATCCTCCACAGTCACGGTCGTACCATATGTATGCTTCAGATGCTCCTCCACAATACCCAGACTGCTAACTAGGGCATCCCTCGATATAGGCTTTGCTTGGAACTCGGGAGTCTGCACCATATCGCGTAGCATGCATGTCACATACCCGCAGATATCCCGGTTCTCGGTGTTGTTCTTGAACCCAGTCTGATAGTGCTCGTGCAGTGCAGTTGCCGCCTCGGAAAATGAAGTGGGAGTATCGAGTACGAAAGGTAGGGGAGCATAATAGAGCGAGACACCATAGTCACTTGTGTTGTGCGGCTTTGCTAGGTACGGCCTGAGGCTCAGAGAGTTCATGGTAACGTATCGTGAGACATTGGCAGTTGGGTCAGCGTACTTCGTGATTGTCTGTATGTATGCGGCGTGTACTGCAGAGGTGACGCTAAACGATCTATCCTTGCAGCCTTTGATTACGGCGGCTGTTTTCTGCGGTGAGAGCACGTATTTTCTTATTGTGAAAGCAACCTGATGGAGCCTTGCCGAGCTTGGAAACAGGGCCGATGCCCGGCATGCTCTCGGCCACAGGACCAAGCAACTCGGCTGTTCTGTCAGCTTGCTGTGGTGTTGGTTGCTCTGAATTGCCCAAGACCTCTTCGAGCACCGGAGGGAGTCTGAGATGTTCGTCACCAAAAGTGATTTGAGCCAATGGAGCGACCAGAGCGTTGAAGTAGCTGTGCCAGAATAGTTTAATCCCAGTACCTTCGATGATGGTGTGGTGGACTCGCAAGACAAGTTCCGACGAAGCAGGGATGTAATACAGCATAGCCTGCTTGATCAGCTGTACGGATCGACGCAGTTCATCCGCGTCTGATGCTGAAGAAACCACAAACGTCTCCTCGACCCATTTCGCCACACGGGTCTCATTTGCAACTTCATATATTAGCTCCATGTTCTCTACAGTGGCAGCGATTTGCGGCTGTTGGTATCGCCACTGGCGTCAGGCGTACTTCAGTGATGGCAGCACATCCGGGACATCAAGTTCAACTCTTACTTTCGAGAGGAGAGTATAGTGCTGTCGGTCGTCACACAACGCCGCGGAGACACCCCCGACGAAGTTGAAATATCCCTCCATCCCACTCAGGGGACGTGTCCAGCGGGTGGGTGAGCTACGTGACCAAGGCATTGTTGCTGTGGACTTGCGAAGAACGACGTATAAAGAAAGAGACTCTTGCATTTGAATGGAGCAAACGGAGCAAGAACATAAGACTCACATTTATGGTCTTCACGAAGCTGATGTTTCTTCTAGATTCTCTATGGACATAAATCCCTTTTGGCCGTCACGTATCAAACCTACCAATAACATTGGTCGACTGGCATTGCTCAGCCCTAGGATGTCGTCGTGATGATCGCAAGCCAACCACATTGTCACCCACCCTTTGACGGGTCTACCAATAATCGACCAAAGATCGACGAGAATATCCTCCAACTGGAGCTGCACGTTATCGGTCTCCTCAAAAAGTATAAGCGAGCCCTTCGTATCCCGGACCTTGGACGCAATGACCTTGATGGCGATAGAAATCACCACTTCCACATATCGCCTTGACTTTTTCCCCATCTTTTGTCGGCAGGATGAATCAGCGTAGGTCTTGGTGTAGATAGTCCGGTGCATCTCTAACTCCCAATATAGTAAGATGCTTCCATCGCCAACGATCCACTTTATCTCCATTTTGGCGCAGCGTGACCAATGATGACGGATGTATGTGAAATTATATCTCCACCCTAACGCGGAGTGACATATGAGCGAGTGGATTGGAAGCAAACTACTGAGTCCTCCGTAGATAGAGGTTTAAGATCAACGATCGTGGGTACGCGCGATGTTGGCGCAGCAATGGACTTCGAGGTTCCACCATAACACGGAGCACCCAATCGTGCATTGTTTGCGGAGAATAGCCTCTTGTATCTAGATGAATCCTCGGGATTTGACTCCATGAATTTCACCCAACACAAGGGGACTCCCGACTTTGGAGCAGGTGGGTCAATACACGTATGTGCCGTTGATATTCCGTGAACAAGAGTTTTCTGTGTCCGGCTCACCAAGCATTTTTGGGTTGCTAGAACGAATTTCTGGACATCGATTTCTTTAAAAACTGCTAACACGAGTGCGGACATGAACACAAGATCGAGTAAATAGCTCAGCCCCACTTGCCTACATTTAGGCTCAGACGAACAACTGAGGGCGTCATCAAAAGCAAGACCAGACCAAACCTCATCCCCGCCCGATGAGCCTCCTGCTTGCTCTACTAGTCCGGTTTCCACAATGACGATTCATACACACTAACCAAATTAGGGATGGTTCGATGCAAGAAGAATGACAGACACCGTCGTTCATCAGTAGTCATCGTCCAGCGAAACTCTGTGACCATGGAATTGGACAGCAATGCCCACGGTCCTTGGCCGACCGCCGCTCTGTTTGGTAACCGATCGACATCAGATCCCTTACAGGTGAAACCCTTGGAGAGGCAGTTTCTGCATCCTCCCGAAGTCTCGTCGCATTTGAGATGGCGGGTTCTGTCGTGATTAGGAAGGAGTTCTTTCACAGGGTGATGCAGACTCACCGACAAGTCCGACAGCCCGTGCGTGACCGTTTCGTCTGTCCTCGACGGCGTCTTGGCGCTGAATTGCTCTGCTGTTGGGCCATAGTGATTGTACTACAGCTGAATGATTTGCAACGTGCAGTTGGGTATTGATTCTTTCATGACATGAGAATGACATCCTCCCCCTCGTTTTCTTTTGGCCCCCAGCGGATCGGGATATTCGAATTGTCTCATCGCCTTGGCTAAGGGCAAAATGGTAAAGCCATTCGCATTAACTACGCCATCCCCACAGCTATCCAATCAAACATGCCTTTGTTGGGTCTGGATTCGTCATCGCTGGCCGACGAAAAGTATTTAACAAGATGGCATCCAGTGCAACTCCTCATCAGCGAACCACATTTGACCTGAAGATTTCCGCAGGCTGAAGTCAATGAGGCTGAAGTCAATGCCTTTCGTTATCTCCGGCAGTTGCTGGACTTCTCCTGTGGCTCATGTTAGGCTTAAAAGGTATCGCGGCTGATTATGCTAATGAATGGATTTAGCATATATTCTTTAAGCGACGTATCACCACAGTAACTGTTCTGGTGGAGAGTAAATCGCAATGGAAGGAAAGTGGATCCCACCCATTCACCAACACTGATCCCCGTACAGTTCTATCACCCAGCGTCATAACTTAGGCTACTTGGGATCTTTGTACCAGGGATCGTTGTAGAGGGTAAAGGAATTCTCATATATTGACCTCCAAGATTGGACATGATTGGAGACTTGGGATCGAGAGAATAGAATTGCCGGCGTAAATGCCGAGGAGGCTTTTCGAAGGCCGTCACGGGATTTAATATTGGAAGGTTGCCTGGAGCCAGGCACCGACCGGGTGGAAAATCAGGCAGCAATCCCATTTCGGGACATTGTTCCTGTTCGCTCATTCTATAAGATGCACCCTTGGTATCGGAGTCCTATGTAAATATTTATAATACGATAATCCTAGATATGGCACGTACTCGCTCCCAAAAGGCCCAAATACCTACTTCCAACACGAAGACAAGCCAAAGAAAAAGATCCCTGCGCAACCACAACAGCCTCAGCCAGCCAAGACCCATGCTTCGGGGCAATGATAAAATCAGTCGTCGAATAGCAAAAAGACCCAAACCAACCTATCTTGAACGGTCGCCATTGGAAGCTGAGCGGGATCCCAATCGAACATTACGCCTCTTCTGCCTGCCCAGGGAAATCTTCGACGAAATTATTAACCATCTACCGCCTGACGCCGAGGCTTGTTTCAGCTTAACCTGCAAAGAAGCATTGCATCTACTCGGTACCACATCCTGGGCAAGCTTTCGCGGAAGGGCTCGCCATTATGGACTTCAATATGGATACTACGGATCACTGGTCGAGCTTCTCCAACGTGATATCCCAGGGAGTGAATATTGTCCCCGATGCGAGACTCTCCATCCTCCTCTGAGACCGCCCAGAGACCATCGCGAGACCAAGTGGACGAAGCTTTGTATGGGCCAGCTAGCAAGCATTGATTACTGGCCGCAAACACCATCCGGTGGCTACAGTCTGGTGTGGGAGCATATCCTCGAAGCATTCAAGTCACAGCCCGCCTCCACAGGGCTCAATCCACCAATTCCACTATTCGAGGGCGACTTTACCTTCAAGAAGGACTTGGTAAATTACAGGCTGTCCTCGTCAGCGCAGTGGGTAGACAGGAACCTTGTCCTTACGCAAGAGCACCGTCTACGACCTAGCGATTCTCAGACTCGGGCCCTTCAAGCGGCGCATATCATCTCCCTTCCAATTCGTGTCTGTGCACATCTATCCACAACAACTGTTCCTCAATCAAAGACATCCTCGTCAAAGCAAGCCATCACCAACAGTTCGCTACTCACTCTTGCCATTGCGACCGCTTTCCCACCTCATTTGCGGAAGGGTGTCCCTCGATTCAGTACATCTACGCAGTTGGCAGATGCGGAAACGAAAGATAACTTCATCTGGCGTTGCAAGAGTTGCGCTACAAAGTTCTACATCAATTACGAAGGACGCGACGGCGGAGAGGTAACCGTGACCGCTTGGCATTGCTTCGGAAAGGAGCTGTGGAAGGCTCAACAATTTTGGACGTACCTTGTTCGTCGGGAAGGGCCTACCTTGGGACCGGCGAAGCGTAATAGCGAATATCATAGTGTTTCTAGGAGTTTGCCTGATTTTAAGACCTCAGAAAATAGCTGAAGTGCCAAGTGGGTCGTGCGTATATGATCAGCTGGATATCCTGCATACGTAGTCTTCGTTTGATATTTAAGAATTGTTGTACATATATACACTGAGCTACCTATCCGTGTGCATATTACACATACAGAGATTAAGCAAGAGAATGCAATTGAGTTGCCATCGATACTTTCCAAAAATAGCTTGCACTAGGTTAGACATTGGTACTATACATTCTAGCATTGAAGAGGCCAACGTGTTGTATCCGATGCGAGTTTTAGGTCTCAGCGAGGGCTTATGCATTTAGCAATAAACTTAATCATTTCATTAGTATCATGCTCCTACCACAGCCGCTCACTCACAAGGACTGTCCTGATACTGCCGGTATTCTTCGATCAAATCATTCATGTTCGACTCAGCCTCCATAAGGTCAAGTTCATCCACTCCATGTATGGTATATGGGTTCAGATAGGCCTTCCGCCTGTACAAAGCCGAAAACTGCTCGCTGATACGACTGAACATGCCCTCAATAGACGTCGAGTTGGCCAAAACGGTGCAAGACACATCGGTGCTATGAGGCGAATAGACAGTCGAGCGAACATTATTCGGAACCCATTCGATAAAATCAGGGGAGTTCCTGTTCCACATATTGTTCACTTGCGCTTCTATCTCAACCACGGAGACCTTGCCGCGGCTGCTTTAGTTAGCATTTAAATCAAAATTTCCCGCAGTTTCGGATAGACTAATACGTCGAGAAAACGTGGCACTCTTACATGATGGTCAGACATGACAGACAGTGACTTTTGTGGTGATTCCCAGAAGCCATTATATTGTTAGAACTGAATAGCTGTTGAGTAACCCATGCGACATTGGAGGACTCAGGAGTACAGCTCGGAAAAGGAGATAACCCAAGCATGAAAAAGTGAAGGCGAGGGGATGGTATCATATTCATTGTCAGCTTGCGCAGATCTGAATTCAGCTGTCCAGGGTAGCGGAAACAGGCCGTCACACCGGACATAACCTGTTTTACCAGATCATTCAGGTCCATATGACAAGGATCACGTATCCCAAGTGTTCCGGTGGAGATATCCGTCAGAGCCTGATTGTCAATGCAGAATGTTGCATCACAGGCTTCTATCAGCTGATTCATTGACAATATTACATTGTAGGGCTCGACAACAACGTCGGGTGCTTGCGGAGGAAACACAGAGAAAGTTGCGATCACTCTGTCGGGGAATTCATCGCGCAACCTTGAGATCAAAAGTGCACCCATACCGCCTCCAGTTCCTCCACCTAATGAGTGGACGATCTGAAAGCCCTGCAAACACTCACATGCCTCAGATTCGCGACGTACAATATCAATAGACTCCTCGATAAGCTCGGCGCCTGCAGTGTGATAGCCAGTTGCCCAGCACTGGCCGGAGCCATACCCTCGGAAGAGAAGATTACCAGGGCGGAAAAAGCTGCCAAGAGGGCCTCCATGGATTCTGTCTCTAGTGTTGGTTTTCAGATCAAGCAGTACTGCACGAGGAACATATTTCTGAGCGTCGGTCTGTGTGCTCTGAATCAGCGGAAAAGCGCTTATAAAAAGGTTAATATTGGGCAATGACCTCAGAAAAGTAGGCATCCAGTTTTCCAGCTTGTTCATCGGACCCAATGAAACTGCAATAGTGTAAGAAGAAGGAAAAGCCACGGTCCACTATCGGAATAATCACTTACTTGCCGGAATTGTCTAGTCCATGTTCCTCCGTGATCTTCTGCCTTCAGATCATCAGCATGCGACATCAGGAGTGCATTTTCTAGCTGTAAATGTGCTCGAACCAGAATGCGGACCCAACTTCGTTACCCTAAATAGCAATAATTAGTAGTCATAATTCCCAGTAAAGAGCGTGGAATGTTCTCACGTACACACCGTCCTATTTGAATATGGACCTAGATATATATTAACGTTAGTATTCAAGCTGACTGGGAACTGGACTTGAGCTATGCCAGAAGAGGCTATACAATTTCACTCATGCTGAGACCGATCTGCTTTTTCTTTCTAGATTGCCCTTGAGGACGTAGATCAATAGGAGAAGAGGGAAAAGAGTTAGAACTACAAATCGTCGACGACTCGTATTTTCCGTCAGTATCATCACGTGACCTATCCAATATGGGTGTTGAGCTCGTCATTATTGGTAAGAATACAGACAGCAAGTACAATCAAAAAGGATATGGCTTACGAAACCTTTAATCTACAATTATAATTACTATGAATATGGATGAGGCAGATAGGAGAGTCTTAGAGTATGTCATTTGGTGGTTATCTTGGCTGTGCGTATAGGAGCTAGAAGCCCTATTCATGAATTATAAGTTACCCGTGCTTGGGTATGCATTGGCAGTTTGTGCGGTGACTGATTAATTGAGTGTTTATAGCAGTATGTTTATCGTCAGTTTAGTCTATCTCATATTGCTCGCCCCACAGGAAAATAGTAGCGTGGGTGTGGTGCCTGATGACCACAAATTAAGCAAAATCACGCCATCGACCATAGAACAACCTTAACGGATTTTAAGTAACAAGTGAATTCCTAACTCAACTACTTTAATCTTACACCCCTCCATTGCAACTGACTTCATTGACTGAATTGATACCATGGGTACCCAGTTTCACACCATTCATTGTCGAAGATAGTACCTCCAACCCAAATATCCAGCTATTCCAGCCGTGGCAGTGACCATTGCACCGAAGTTCACCATAGCTGCCTTCACTCTGGGTTCCATATAATCCGCAACAATCCTATGGAACTTGTCGGGCTCATTGCCACGAGGATACTTTTCCTCGGGGATCGGCTGGTCTAAGAACGGACAGATTTGTTCCCAGCCCAGACCGTCCTCAAGCTTCACCACTAGAAGCCTATCCTTGGGGAGTGTTTCTTTTATGGACCGAATGCTATATTGCCACGAATTAGTCATATAGAAAACATTATGTTGAGCTAGGGGCCATGAATACTGACTATTCCACATAATTCTTGTAGAGAGCCACTTCACTGTTGCTGTCGCCTGGGTTCGCTCCATCTGCATAAGCCCAGTACATTACGGTGGCGAGGTGGAGGAAATGACCGAGCTCGGAGTCAAAGCGTTTCAGGATGTTTAATGGAAACTGATGAGCTGCCTTTACAGCTTCCCCAAGCGTATTTTCGATCGACCTCACCCATTTTTCAGGCGTACGTTCGGTCACGATAAACTTCACGTCGGGGTCTTCAATATATCCTTGCATGGCTCTACTCCCAATGTAACTTGGGATTTCCATTAAGCACTAGACCTCGTCAGCATTTTGTCTCTTTGCGGTCGGAACACAAGAATTTTGGAAGGAGGCAGTTAAAACGCAAAGCATGGAGAAATATCAGGTCGAACGCACGTCATAGTTTCCTATCCATCTGTCCATATCTGGCGTCTCGTATCGTTTGATGCCTGACAGTTGGTTGTGGTTGGCGATTATAGCCTCTGTGAACACCTTCATATGAGGGCTTCTGCCCTTGTACATCACGTCGATCATGTGATAGGGTGTATACCCCAGCATTTCCAGGCCAGCGTGGAGGCCCAGCGTGCCTGTTCTTTTCGGCCATCAATTAGCGGGGCGATCGCATTCAATCTTCCAGAGGAAGAATGAAGAATAACGCCTTACCGACTGCAGCTAGCGACAATGAGTCGCATCTTTTTCTTTTCTGCTGGCTGAGCCAGCCGCTCAATTTCACGCGACATGATGAAGCAACAAGGTCTCTAATGGAGTGCGATGAGCTTTAGAACAGATGCCCGGAGACGAAGGACCTGATTTTATACTGAACGGCCCAGCCATGGCTTTGGCCCCCGCGCTTTGCTGAAGAATTCTCTCTCCGCTTTGTTTCGGAAAATTACAACAAATACCCGAAACGGCCAGTGAGCTACATCAATATCCACGAAGCTAGTGCTTAGTGCACCTCGGCTACGTGGCTAGGGAATCGCTGAGGTTTAAAAATCTCCACAACAGGTTTTATTCGGCCCAGTGGAGATTAGTATGCTTATGACAGCGGCCTGTGGGCTGATGTACTCCGGCCTATGGGTCTAATGCACGAGGCTAGCCTGCCGTCCATAACGGTGGGTGTGGGCCTTGCGCCAATGATATGGGTTGTATGCGGACATCCGACGGATTAGTCCCATCGATAGACACTGGCTGTCTCTTCTTAGACGGAACTTAATAAGAACAGGCGTCGCTCAGACCTGACAACACAGCCTTCCTTCTGATCATCGTTGCCCTTCTTGTCCTTCGCGCCCTTTGATTCGGTCGTGTTCGTTGAGCCTCACTCATAAAAATTCACCCGGGGCTTTTTCTCCGTCTTCGGGCAACGAGAGTTGCGCAGGAGGGAAAGCAGTTGCCGAATGTGTCAATGTGCCTCATCTCCCGCATCATACGAGCATGACAGCAGCCGCATGCCACGTATCCTCGGAGGCATAACCTGTATCATTTGTCCTACAGTGGACTTGGTCGTAATAGTTTTCTTTCAATCATTTACTTCCCATCTGTTACCCGATGGACGATATTCGTGGATCTTCTTTTCCCAATACACATGCGTAGTGTCATATCGGCAGCGGAAACGTGATAAGTCATTTTTATATCATTCTCCTATCCTCTGAAGTAGTTGTTCTCTCCTTCGGTTCTACCTCACTATCTAAAAGCATGCTCAGCATGTGACCCAGACATGTGACACGTAGTCCGCAGAAAGTCAGTGCACCTGAAAACTAGGTCAGAGGTAGGCGACTGCCGATAGAGTCCGGCGAAGATCAACAGTATGAAATACAGGAGCGCGATATTAAAAATTGTGGTCTATCCCTTTCAGCCTAGCAAAGTTACCCCCCCTTGATATTGGGGGATTGCAGGTCATTGATCTTAATGTTGTCTTAAAAGGCTAACTTGCAATGACACTTAAATACTACTCGGCAATGCCCCACCGTTTCTCTTGGCTAGATAACTAGGCGGTCTCTAGAGCTAGTGTACCTTTCTCAGATATTGATATTTGCCTACCTTACGAACATCATACTGCTGGGTAAATGCCAGGAGTCCAGCGTGCCTCATCTGGGGTATGCTAAACCCCCATACAAACCAGACTATTATAGTAGGGCTCGTGGGGCTTGCATCTCAGGGTTGGGGTTGTCAGGAAGGGGTTGGTTTGTCTAGGTAATGGCTAATAATCGATGATGGGCATCCGCCCGAGGGGGCAGTTGAACGGCCTATTGGAATTACCATCCAAGAAGATATGCCCAAGTAACATCCAGTGCTAACCCAGTAATTATTAGAATTCTATATGAGCCGGTGTGGATGCTGACACCCACTGTAGGAAACTTCTGGAACTGGTATGACGAGAGAGTAACGGTGTATCAGAGATTCTGCTCCAGATAAGACCCTGAACTGGGAGGTCTGTTATGAAAGGCAGGATATCTACACCTTAGCCAAGCTCGTTTCATCAGGCCAACGTATTGACCTGTCGAGGTTTTGAAAGAGCTTGGTAGACAAGAACAGTATCTTGAATGTCAGCGCGCAAGCATACCTTTAGCTATAGACGTGCTTCTCCTTCATTCCTACCTTTCCACTGTTCAGCATGGGCTGTATTGATTCCTAGATAGTAAGGTTTTAGTGTATTGGGATCGAATGTGGGCCCAAAACCCCTTATAGATTAGTGTAATCCAGCGGGTTACATGCCTCAGGCCGCGACCCATGCACAGTATTAAGTAAACGAATAAACGTATGGTCCACGAGTAGAGAAATAGAGATCCAAGACAGCGCGGAATGCCAAATAGATCGCATCGTATTTCTTAATTGGAAGCCTGTATGTGAGGTTTGTCACGTTTCCCCCTCGGCCGAAAGCCCAGATTGACAGTTAATCTAGCCTTGCACCTCTGCATTTACAAATCTTGTCCGGTGAAATGCACCTCAATACCTATCTCCTGTCAAACCAGGCATTATCATATTTGGGTAAAACCAAATTCAGGGTGACTGAGATAGCTATCCTTTTGTTTCAGCTTTCTTGTTTGGCTTTCTTAATTTCTTTAGACTTTCGATTCTAAGGGCCGACTACTTTCCTGGTTTGAGAGTGACACTCTAACATTTGGATATAATCTCATGACGGCTGCAACAAGAAGCACGTGTTGGGTTTCAATATATGGCATAGCAGATTGCTGTTTTATCCTTCTCTTCAGGCACCCTTACATTCAAGAGCGGCCTGGATCAGAAGCCCACTGTGGCGTGAATGTGAGGGAGAAAGTGTGTGTGGTTTTAGGTGTACCACCATTGCCCTATCCCTCTGCGTAGTAATTTTGCCTTCAGTGCGTGCTTCTTTACTTGTCTGGCTTCTAGCCCATTACTTCGAGAGGCTCTTTCGATTGAATCTTTATCTTACGTAATAATGCTTGGCTGGTACTCGAATTTGTGTCGAAAAGGTCGTGCTCAATCACGGCTGCCTGATCCTCTCAGGAATACTAATATCATTCACCTTTGGCGTGCCTACCACAATGGACTCACTCGCACCTGATACCAATGGCGAAGACAGACTGGTCTTCTGTCATTTCATAGTACGTGAAATTAAAAGATCGAGTTAGAGAACCGGGACAGTAAATTACTCATCTAACACAATTCAGGTTGGCGTTGTCAGCAACCGCCAAAAGGCCAGCGACTATGATGCTGACATGAAACGAGCCAAAGAGTATGGGATTGATGCCTTTGCCTTGAACATCGGCACAGACTCCTACACCGACACGCAGCTATACTTCGCCTACGAGTCTGCCGCCAATAACGACATGAAGGTGTTTATCTCGTTCGACTTTAATTGGTGGCATATCAGCCAAGGCAGCGAGGTCGGAGCCAAGGTCCGCCAGTTTGCAGATCACCCTGCGCAACTCAAGGTTGACGGTAAGGTGTTTGTATCATCCTTCTGTGGCAGTGGTGTCGACCCCGGTGCAATTCAAAGTGCTGCTGGCTGCGATCTCTTCTTTGCGCCAAACTTCCATCCTGGTTGTGGTGGTTTCGATAGTATCCAAGGCGCCCTAAACTGGATGGCGTGGGACAGTAATGGTTGCAATAAAGCTCCAAGTGCAGGACAGAAGGTAGCCGTAACCGATGGTGATGATGCCTATAGACATGCGCTTGGTGGGAAGGCATATATTGCGCGTAAGTGTGCCCAAGGGTCTCACGTCGTGATTGTGACTGATTTGGAATAGCCATCTCCCCTTGGTTCTTCACACACTTTGGTGCAGAAGTCCCCTACAGTAAAAACTGGGTGTTTCCTTCCGACCTTCTCTGGTACCACCGATGGAGGCAAGTCCTGGCTTTGGGGCCTCGCTTCGTGGAAATCATTACCTGGAACGACTTTGGGGAGTCACACTATGTTGGTCCTCTATCATCACCCCACACAGATGATGGTTCATCCAAGTGGGCGATAGACATGTAAGTAATACAACAAGCATCTGAAGAGTCTCCACTAACTCGTAATCCAAAGGCCACACAACGGTTGGCTGGACATGGCTAAACCTTTCATCGCAGCCTATAAAGCGGGCGTGCAGGACCCAAGCGCCTTCATCCACGAAGAGCGGCTAGTCTACTGGTACCGCCCAACGCCCAAATGGGTCGACTGCGACGCAACCGACACAACAATGCAGGGCAATGCCAACATTACAAGCGGGGATTTCTTCCGAGGGAGACCCCACGGTTCAGACACAATGGAGGATAGTGTGTTTCTTGTGACGCTGCTGAAGGAGCCCGCAGAAGTGGAGGTATGGTCCGGGTCGAACGCGCGCACGTTCCAAGCACCGGCGGGTGCACAAGAATGGTCTGTACCTATGGGCCTGGGTGTGCAGTCATTCCAGGTTCGTCGGCAGGGGAACATTGTCGAGGCTCTCTCTGGGGTTAGTCCGCGAGATATCGTCGACAAATGTCCATATGGTATTTACAATTTCAATGCCTACGTTGGCACGCTGCCGCCAGAGCCGGAGGTTGACCAGTTGCAGCCGGAGGGAATGGCTCTGCTCTCGCAGGGACTACGGACCGCTTGTCCATCTAATCCGTCGCCTTGTGAAGGGGGTGTGGAACCTATAGCTCCACCCTCGCGCACGCACACGCGGACATCTTCGCCAGCGCCAGAATCAGCCAGTTGCTGCACTATCCTCTAATGATTCGAGGGGCAGCATTATGCAATGGGAAGAGAGAAATAGAATTCACCAGAAAGATTAATATCTGTCACTGTTATGATACCGCAAGCCTTCCATAATCGTTGACATTGAATACCATCACACTCTCGCCTCGATTGTTAGAATTGTATTTACTCTATCCATAGATCAATCTAGACTTTTCAGCCAAGCCCGAAGGATATCGAGAGCCCTTCGGGCAATTACGCGTACGAGTTAATGTGACAACAGTTGATAATTAAATGGAATAGCAAATGTGTGTCTGCGGGCTAGGGATATCGATGCCTATCGGAACCGGGCGGACTTCAAATGAAGGCTGCCGAGCACAGTACTTTATTTGCCTAGACCAGTGTTCCCGTCCGTTCCCTGTACCTTCGACTCTCAGTTGACAGGTGCACAGCTGCTGCGGTTTTGGGTTAGTTTGGCCCATATAGTCGACTTTCTGTTGCCAGACACTCTGTCCTGGGGATGCCATAGGGTTATGGCTCTGTGTAACGGTCATATGAAATGAACATTCCCTTTGCGACTTACGGCATCCTCACTTGAGCGGAGCAAAATACCTGATGATGGCGTCACAGTAAGACTCACGAGCCTTGGTATAATGCCTCGGCAACAAACTTCATTACATATGCTGCAGGATGGAGGTCATGGGATTGCGATACGCGCAATCAGTTCGCAAGGGTCTCCTGATACTCTGCTTCCTCCGAGGTTCGATTCCAACGATACACAGATCATACTAGGCAGAAGATTAACAGCCCCCCACATAACGCGCCCGAATAATCCCCGCGAAGTTCAACGAACGTACCGCCAAGTGTGGAGGACATGTAAGGGATGTCATAGCCCGTTCCACATTGTGGGGTCCACTTAGGATGTTGCAGAAAAGGGGTCCTGGCCGACGTGGGATATCATCCCTGACCAGTCTTTACTGATCCGTCGGTGATCACCGGATGAACACTGTCCGTGCCTCCGCAAACTGAAGGTGATCGGCATTCCGAAGGGTCCTCCGTCCGCGGGTCGAGCCTGGGCTTTCCTGAATTTAATCTATTTTAACCATCCAGGTTCAATAAAAGAGGGTATATAACGGGCTAGACCCTTGTTCCCTGCACATGCCAAGGATAGTAGCTCATACATCGTACAAATTAGAGGACCTATTTAAAGGTAGGGCATGTGGGGAGGCGTGGGTCCTTCGTCAGGGCTGGATAAATGGGCTTTCTTCCATCCGGTCCGCGGAGTCGTACAACGCCAAGAAATAAAGTTCTTCAGTTATGCATATCCGAGCTGGGTATATTACCCTGTATCACGACAAGCGGAGAGGATGCCAAGAACTGCCCTACCAGTTAGGTAGGTTATTGGTAGAACGCCCAGCGGAGAGGATACGTTGATTCTCATATGGCCTGAGGAGCTCTTGGCGGAGGCGAAGCAGAGTCCGTTGAGTGATGAGAGAAATGTCGAGCGAAAGTGTCCAACCTACAGGACTTCCTCGCAAAGAAATCAGTCAAGGCAGTTTTCAACAGCACTACCCTAGACCCACGGTGGGCAGCTAGCACACCATCGGAACGGCCCGTTACCCTGAACTCAATGGAGTATATCGAGTGTATGACCATAACTAGATTGGCCATGTCGATCATGCACCTAGAGCGTATCAAGGGAGTTTAAACCACCGGATCCAGACAGCTTGACGCGCGCTGATGGATGGGTCCGTTATGACACGAAAAAGTGGAGGATGATCACCTGGTACCAACTAATTGCATCGTGCTATCGCAACCCCCTGATGCCAAGGCTCTACATTTCTTAAATGCCAAGAGCTTGGGGATATGCCCCGCTAGTCAGTGGCCAAGATTTGTACTTTAAAATTAAACAGCTTAGATCAATATACCTGCTTGAAGCAGGTGCTAGCTTTGGACGCCAAGAAGGAGAGATTTGCCCTCCCATGTTGGTTGGTTTCTTTTTCAGTTCTCTCCTGCGCCAGATATTACGCGGTTCTAGTATGATGCCGCCAAGATATGATGCCATTACAAGGTACCAATTCGCTAACCATGTCCCGAAGTATTGATGCCAATGGTTTTACGGTCTCCAGTGATCGGCAAGTGTACGGTTTCGTGGGCACGTTATGAGGCCGACAACGGAAACGTTTGCCGCTATGTATTAGACTTTTGTGGCAATTTGATATCATACAAGAACCAAAGCAGTTTGCGAAATAGCTATCGATACAACTGCTTTCTCAATCCCTGTTTCCCTGAAGACCATGGGGTGCAATAGATCACGTGGCGGAGACGCGCAATACTGCAGGGTAGACCACATGGATATACTTCTTGAACTAGGATTAGATTATTAATATTACTAAGAGAAACTCGAAGTATTGGAGTCACATATAGTAAATCAGAATGCCTTTCGAGTACTCATGGCCGCTAACGGCTGCCATCACAACACCGACAATTATCCGTAGGCACCAGTATATACCGTTTCACAGAGTGATGCAAGGTCATAAGAACCTACGGATGCAAGGGTATGGCCCTGGCATAGAGAGACGGTATGTAGTTGTGCGTCAAGAGGCGAAGGGGATGACCGAATGGATAGTCGGGCTATACGCCTCACGCTACATATTGACCATTGAAAGGTGTTGAACATGATTTCCATTACTCAATAGTTTCTTTACCTCGTGCTGGGCAGTTTGGTGTGCAATGTCCTGCAGTCAACGACAACGATCAATTCTGGCAGCAACCTGCTATCGTCTTTGAATATAAATCCCCCTTCTCGCATCTGTCTGAAACAATAATTAAACTCCAAGCTCAACCAGATCAACAGTCATTCACATATGATCAGATTGTCAATATAGTTCTTCTATTTTAAAAACCTACAATTCGAAAGATTTGACTGTTTAGCATCATGGAGTCAACTCCAGTATGCGAGTTCCAGACAATCGTCAAGAATAACCCAGTACTTGCCTCTACGGGTTGCACCGCACAGTTCTGCCAGGCCGGAAGGTTGATTCATTCAGATGAGCCAAGGGTAGGAGAGACTCGTCCTCTTGAAGTGGTCAAGCAAGAAGCCTTAGGTTTTCTATGGCAACTAAGACAGGAGGGAGTCTATACAGAACACCAGTACACTGCGAGACATGTTGAAGTTCTCAAGGCTCTTGAAGAATCAGAGGTGATTGAACCGATGCTGGTAGATGGAGTAAAGACGGTAGGAAAAACAGCGACCTGGACTCAGACTCCAGAGGAGCTTATACATGGCATCCGACTTGCGTGGAAGAACTCACGGAAGTGTATCATGAGATCACATTATAAGGAACTAGAGTGCGTCATTCCTCGACAATGCCTTGGGCAGATCTTTATTAACCTGAGTTTCAATAGCCTATGCGACCTTCGGCATATTACGTCTAGTGTTGGGATGGTAAAGGCTGTCATCGAGGAGGCGATTAAGGCATTCAACCAGGGACAGATCAGGCCGACAGGTTTGTCAGCGCACTTACTACTCTACAGGTCGTTACTGATGTACTTGTAGTGTTTGCCTTTCCTCCGCGCTCGACTAGCGGCACAGGCCCAATGTTCCTGAGCAAACAATTGCTCAACTTTGCTGGTGTATGGATGTACAAAAAAATACTTTCGTGAATGTTAGTCAACTAATACATTATATAGTACCGGCAACATGATGGTTCGATCCTCGGAGACCCAAGCAATGTCGAGTTAACGCAAGACATAATCGAGCTTGGGTGGGCTCCACCAGAGCCAAGAAGCCAGTGGGACCTTCTGCCGATAGTCGCCATGGCAGAAAACGACGCACCGGCTTGGGCTGACGTTCCGGCTGAGCTCCGTGATCTAGTCGACATCCGCCATCCGAGGTTCGAAAACTTCCAGAAACTGGGCTTGAAGTGGTATCAGTTTCCTGCCCTCAGTAGGCTTGGATTTGATATTGGTGGCGTGCAGTATACAGCAGCACCTTTCATTGGTTGGTAGGTCGTACACTCATAGACCTTATCTGTATGCATGGTTTAACGTGCAGCCTAGGTATATGGATGCAGAGATCGGTGTCCGTAATCTCGCTGATTCATTTCGATACAATGCTCTACCTGACGTTGCTAAAGCACTTGGCTTTGATATCGAGAACTATAAGAAGAACCCTGAATACGCCGAGATCGAGGCAATGGAAGACCTGCCTGACTACGAGCAGCTCGTGTGGATGGTACGTGCCCTCCCCCCTTCTCATCCCTCTCCCCCAGTATGAGTGCCATGCTAATCAAAACAGTCACGAGCACAAGCTGAGCTTAACTATGCAGTTCGATGGTCTTTCCTACAGAAAGGCGTTTCCTGCATCGGAACGTTGGCCGCTTCCTCCGATTGGACTCGGTTTGACGATGAGCATGCTTCGAAGCACGGGTACAGGCTTAATTCCGATCCGTATTGGATAGCACCGCCGCAGGGCTCCATAGTCCCGGTGTGGCATCGTGGCGGCGCCCCCAATTATCAGCCCAAGCCATTGATAGCAAGGCATCGACTTGATCCCATAAAATCGTGGCGGCGTCGACGTAATATTGTCAACACGCCTGTAACCAGACTCTTGAAATCCGGTGGCGACTGGGTGGGTACCTTATTATCCCTGTGCTGCAATCCCTCCTTTCTGACTTATGATCTCTAGGTGGCTGAACACGTCAAACAAGTACAACATTCGTTGTGTATCGAAAATGGCACCAAGGGCCTTACAAATAGGGTGCCAGCTGTTCCTCAGAAAAAGGTACATATTTATTACAGTAGCACGGGAACGAGTGCGTTGAAGCTAGCAGAAAAACTTCGAAGACGCGTGCAAGAGCTTTCAGGTGGCTTCCAAGTGGACTTCAATATTCTGAATCTCTTAGACCTTCGGAAGATAACGCCCTCGGAGCCCATTCTACTGGTGGTTTCGACGACGGGTGATGGGCGCTTTCCTGCGAATGGTGCTGAGTTCGAAGCAGCCATGAAAGGCAAGGCTCAGGAGTATAATGGAGCGCTTGCAGTCAAGTACTCTATATTCGGAGTTGGAGACAGCGCCTACCCAACCTTCAATGCGGCTTCTGTCAAACTCCACGAGTTCATGAAAGCGGTAGGCGGAATTCCGATCGCGAAGGGGCTTACAAAAGGGAACACAGCAGTGGAAGCATTGCCTATGAAAGCCTTTAACCGTTGGTGGACTTTTGTCAAGGATTGTTTGACTGGGGAAGGTTGCAACGAAGTTACAAATGAATCAACCGAGGATGAGTGCCTCGAACACCACCGGATGCTTGCAACATTCAACACAGGCCGGCTGCTGAGTAAAGCCCCCGCTGAGACAGGAGAAGGAAGAATAGTCATGATAACCATGGACCTGGGTGATGCGGACTATATCGAGATGAGTCACCTGAGACTTTTGCCGTACAATACGCCGGACCACGTTGCCAGGGCCCTTACTGCGTTGGGGGTCAGCAACGTCAGCCAGCGTGTGCCGTTTACAGACCCTATGATGCCAACTCTGAACTACACAGAGTTCTTTCAGCATTATGTAGACCTTGAAGGAAAGTTTAAAGACGTTGCGTGGCTATCTGAAGCCTTTCCCGCTGGTGACAGGTGGGACACGAATGGGACAGTCCTTGAAGTCTTGGAACGTCTCCCAGCCCTACAACAGATCTCAGATGAACTTCGCCTGAAGGCCTGCCTTGATATGCCTCTACTTCGTCCCCGCTCATTCTCCGTCGCCTCCTCTGCCAAGTACATCGGAAAAGGCTTGGTAGAAATTATGGTGAGACTCCACAAGGGAGGGAGATTCAGCGACACATTCCTGTCTGCGATCAGCCATGGCGATCCAATCAGATATGCTCCAGTTGCTATCGTCCCAGGACAAGATCTTATTTCCTCCGAGAAACATCTCATCGCAATCTGCACCGGAACCGGGTTCGCTCCGGTCCGAAGTTTGCTACAGCAGAAGATACACGTTATGAAAGAGGCAGAGTCCCGTGGGATGGAGTTCTTCTTTCAATCCCCTCCTATTAGCATTTTTGTAGGCTTCAAGACTCATGATGAAGCTTTGTTTGAGGAAACGCTTTCCACGGCCGAGCGGTATGGTGTAATTGATATGGTCTATCGGGTACCTAGCAACAAGCAGAAGAGGAGGGTCCAACACTACGTTGAAGATAATAAAGATAGCATTCTGACGAAGCTCGAAGAGGGGTCGATCTATGTTTGCGGAGCCAAAGCAATGGTTAATGATATGGCAGCGAAGTTGAGTGATATGATCGGTGGAGATGTGAGGCAGAATCTTGGCCGTCGTTACGTGGAAGAGATTTTTTAAATTGTAGTGTTTAAGAAGATCAGATCTTAGGGACATTTTGCTATAAGTTACCGGATGTGTTCCTCTTCATTGAGATATATTCTTCTTACTCTCAATTCTATTAATACTTTAAGTAGACTAGTGTAACAGGTAGACCTCGATCTTCACAATCTTGTCCTGAAGCACTTATCTGAGTATCTATTACTGGTAGATTAGGCTCGGTCTAATCCTTGATCGCCTCTTCTATCCTACTCCCCTTGTCTAATCTACTATCCGGCTCCTGAGTATTGATAACTAGTTCTATCAATCCCATCGAGCCTTTTATTCTTCGGGGTCTTTGCTACTTGAATCTTATCCTCAGAGAAAACTCACTCTAATCGCCCAGCCTCATTCTCGTTAAGATCACATCTCGACGTACGAACAAACATCATTAGTGCCGAAATTATTTAAGACCGCATCCTTCCTCGACGGTAATGGCAAATATCTTTGTCAACCCCACGTCGAGCATTTGAAAAAAAAAAAAAAAAAAAAATATTGTTCGAGTTAAATTTGGACAGCAGAGTAGTTCCTCTGAGTTATAACAATTAATGGAGAATACTGGGTGTATTGATACTACTCTTTAGTTCTACTGGGTATAGCGTTTTCCACAAGGAACAGATATATTGACTAGTCATCAACCTTCGTAATATAATGTCAGGTGGAATACTATAGTGAATTCATAATATAAAATATAAACTGTTAACCGCCTCACATTCAACCATATGCCGTAATTTCCCAATCCTTAATTATGTTTATCTCTGTTAGGTGACTCATAAGCGATGCCCCAGACGGGAGCTTTCAGCTCGCCACTAGTTCAGCCGTGGAGGAGCTGAATGATTTCCAGTCCAATTAGGTGTATCAAGCCGTGTAGTTACTGGAGACAGTACCGTGAATAACTATAGGAAGCGGGACTGAGGCAAACCCACGCACATACCAGATGTCTGTCAATCCAATGAGAACAAACCCACCGTTCCTGGCCAGCCAGGCACACATCCTCTTCCTGAGAATACTATTTATCTACGTGCTAATCATCAGGTTTTTGATTTACACTAATATTATACTTTAACTTCCTACGTGGGTCTCTAAATAGCGAAGTTTGCCTTCGCTTATCGTTCGATGCAAGCCGCAGTAACCTGACGTATCCATATCTCAGCTCAGCCCAATTACTCCGGAGTATATTCAGTCTATTGTTAAAAAGTTGAACCATTATGTACCGTATCTCTTCATTAATAAGAGATTTAACCCATAGCAGCTTACTCCAACCAACAAAGCTTTGGGAGAAGACTAGCTGGCCATGGTGACAAGGCTTTTAGAACTCGTATATTTGAGATGATTGAGTTGGACCTGGTTTGAGAAATGGGTCAAATCTCGAAGTATGTAACTTCCTCAGAAATATATGAGTATGTCAAATAGTCCTTATTCCTTTTACTTTTCCTTTTGTTCTTCTTTTTCTTTTCTAATAAGAGCGATTACAGTGGCACACATTGCCCGCTGACCTGCCCTAACCTAGCTCCGAGTCAGGTGCGGGATCTGGTATAGAAGGCAGAATCTACTGGAATTCAGATTCCTACGTTAAAAACATTCTCATCCATAAACTACCTCTGGTTTACTCGCCTCAAATAAATATGAAATAAAAATTAAAATAACGTATAAGTTCGATTAGATAGGTTATCAGCCCTTCAACCTTTGCAATAAGGCTTCTAAGTTCTGCCATGTTGGTGCTCACGCATGCATGGCCCTCTCGAATATGGAACGGAATTCTGCTTCCGGCTTTTCCATATCGATTTCAGCTGCTTGTGCTCTCAGCCGCTGTGATCTGCGTATTATTTCGCCCCGCAGAGACTGCCAGTCGACACCAACAAGCTGACCGTTTTGCTTAACAATTCTGCCATTGACAATGACCGTGTCAATATTTTTCGATGATGTATGGAAGACCACAGTGCCGATAGGGTCCGCAACGGGCACCGTGTCAATGTCGTCACAGCGAAAGATCACCAGGTCAGCCTTTTTACCGGGAACGATCGAACCGATGAACGACTCCATCTGCATGACCTGTGCCCCTCCCAGGGTTGCCATGCGTAATATGTCTGCTGTTTTTCTACCGACCTCCCTGTGTACTGTATGTGCATATTCACGAGCTCTCTGTGTCTGAAGCGCCAACCTCATCTGGGCCATGAAATCATTACCCTGATTCGACGTGATGTCAAGCCCAAGGCACGTCCGACATCCCAGATCAGCCGCCTTCCATACGACAGGATATCCCATGCCCATCTGCAGCTCCGTGTCGGGCGTTCCCACAATGCCAGCCCCAGAGCTCCGCACAGCAGCCAGTTCGCTATCGGTCATCCAACCTCCGTGACTAAACACGAGGTCTGGCCCCATTACATCTGCATCATCAAACTGCTCCACAACTTCAGCCTTTGGCCCCCCATCGGATATCACAGAAGCATGCACAGTGCTGAGCCTAGCTCCCAGCTTCCTTGCAGTCTCCAACCCCCTGACATTCTGTTCTTGAGACTGCATCGGCACTTCGTCCAGAGCAATTCCAAACGTGAGAAGCGAACTCTTTGGATCATTATTTGGGAAATGTTCCTCGCGCACACGAAGAGCATCGTTGATTCGAGCGGCTTGGTCAAACTTGTCTGTTGCCATACTCGCAAGATCGCCAGGTACTGTAGGGTTCTGGTAGAATCCATAGCAAAATGTACCTCGGATAGCAGCATCCTTGAGGCCCTTCACAGCTGCGTCAGCATGTGCGGGCGAGTTCATTATGTGGGAGTGGTCGAGAACAGTTGTGACACCATTGTTTAGCAGACTCAACGCGGCAGCATAATTGGCGAAGTAAACGTCGTCTGGTTCGTACAGGCTTCCGTAAACGGTCCGCAGGTGACAGCAATAACCAAAAAGAGACCAGTCCACGGTGATCCCCCTCAAGAGATGCTGCCATATGTGGTGGTGGCCATCGACGAAGCCTGGAGTAATAATGCAATTTTCTGCATCGATGGTGACCACGTTGCCTTCCGTCGGAGGAGAAATGCTATGGCCGACAGCCTTGATCTGCTCATTTTCTATGAGGATATCGCAGTTGTGTAGGACGTCCCTGCCGGATGCCTCCATAGAGATCACCGTTGCCCCTTTGATGAGGATATATGAGTCCGGCATATTGAATGATAGTCAATTATAGGTGGACCAGATATCAGGAGGGACTGTTGCAATGGAAAAGGCCGTTAGGTATATCTGTGAGGAAGTCAGATCGAGGCCGTGGTAGCAGTGAATCTTACGTGGTGAAAGAGCCAGCCCTCTCTGTCTACGTATTACCCCTCTTCTGCATCTGGGTTTTATACGAACAGACAGCCAACCAGATGGACTGAGTCCGAACTATGATCGAGGAAGGCGGGGTAAGGAACATAATCCGCGTATGTGCTAGTTTATCGAATGATACATGCTTATTTTAGGCCTCCCATCGGAAACCACCAAAACCTGATCGGTGATGTCACCAGCCTAATGCATTAAATATATGGTCACGTGCGTTCTAGACCCTTAATAAGTATACCATGGAGAATTTATATTGATCCATTAGAGCCTTGAAGCTCTTTCGGGTCCCCAATGACGCTCTACCATATAGGTCTTCGTCTCCATGGTAGTCCTCTTTATGATCGTCTGCCAGTACTCAGGCCACTAAAATAGTACTCTTTAATGTACGTTTACAAAGACCATTTGTCAGAAATAGAATTGTCCTATGTATGGGAGACCCACGGCTTTCTCCTTTTACCGGTGTTAAATACGACGACGGGTGGATATCTGTTCCGGCTTAAGGAACGCTGGACGCAAAAGGCATGAGGAATTATCCTCCAAAGAGAGAAAAAGATGTAGTTCTATCCCGTCTCGAACGCCGAGCAAAATAAGTAAGGCTTCACATTGATATATAGATAGAGCCAGTGCATGTCTAAAACACGAGTCCCTTTGATGGCGACTTATCCATGGCACTAGAGCAAGAGGCCCGACCGCTATCCAGATCTCATTGCTTCTTCTCTGCCACATAAGTCCTTAGAAATTCCTCCAGGTTCTCTTGCTCCAAGCCCAGCTTCTCATTCCACAATCCCTTGCTGGCCGAGTACTGTGCTAATCCTCCTTTTCCATAAATGGCCCCGGCAAGCATAGAAATAACTCCAAGCGGTTGTCCTTCTTTCCACTTCGCATCTCCTTCTTGCCACAATTCTTCAACATTTCCTTTCGACACGTTGAACCTCTCTCCAGTTACTCTTTCGAGGGCATTTAAAATCTTATTTTGGGTCACCGTAAAGCTGTTCACATAGACGTACTGGTTCTTGGCAAGTTCCAGCTTCCTCAAAGACTTTGCGATAGCCCTGCCCACTTGATCAAGATTTGTGGCTTCATAGCGGACATCACCACCATCATAGATCGTCACGGTGCGTGCCAGCACGTCCCAGCCAGCAAAGCCGGGGATATTCAAACCCCAATCGAACATCGAGCCCGAACAAATCGCGATCCATGAGATCTGGTCCTGCTTGGACTTGAGGTAATCGAGTGTTTGCAGTTTATCCGCGAGGAAAGGGATATACTCCGGGGCAGAGCGGTTTGATGTATCGACCCCGTATTCGGAAGGGACAAACACCTGCACCCCGGCCGCGATAGCCGCGTCCACAAAGGTTTTTTGTATGGCCAGTGCATCTCCTGGGACGATGCTAGAAACCGTACTGATAACTGCGTCATGACCTTTGAAAATTTCCCGCAGGGAGGCTTCGGAGTAATCGGTTTTGACGTGCTTCACATCAGCTGGCAGGGTCACCTGCGATGACTCCCGAGTGAGACCAGTGACCTGAAAGCCCTCTGCCAGCAATGCCTTGACCGTGGACTTGCCGACTTTGCCACTGGCTCCAATGACTAGCACCATTTTGATGGGTGACGTGGCCATGATTGATATGAGGTAGTGGAAGGTATGTTGGGAACGAAAAGCTAAATGGTTGTAAAAGGGTCGTGCTGGGGGATTGCAATCCAGTATGTCGGCGTTCATTCATGGAATTTATATAAGTTAACCTTGACCTTGACACCTATATAGACGGTGCCTCGTAGCATATGTCATCAGTGCAATGTTTAGTAAATAATGATTACTCACTACCGCGTGACAAAAGCCAGTTGGTACTCTGGTTGTAAGTTGCATTGCCACAAAAGTAAATGCCTATTCTTGGCATTCTATTGGCGTCCACAAAGGTAGAGGCTGCGAGATAACCAACCGAATTCTGAAGACCACGGGAAGTGCCACAGCCTTCCACGGTTATTGGATCCGGCCAGCTTTGTAATAGTAACCTTATCGGTGCCCAGGTGCCCAGTCCTAATCATCATCAATAATCTCCCGCCGACTCCTCGGGCGGATCGAACGGAAAACTCCATTACTGATCGGCCCCACAAGCTGCCACCACTCGTAGACGGTGGAGATAACCACCTGTAGCTTGAATATAATTTCTAATCATCCGTAATCAACCCGTTTCAACCTCCTCGCTAAGTCTATCTCGCGAATTCCTGGAGGCTCTCCGTGATATTTCCAAGAATGGTACACACTAGGACGAGGCATTACGACGCAATAGCTAGCTGAACCCGTGGCCTTGGTTCGTCAGCATTTGCCGTCATGGATTTCTAAGCCCACGAGGGGACCTTCATTTACCTCGTTTGATCATGCTAACCCGGGTCCTCAAGATTGTAGAACATTCAAGGATCCGTGAGACCCACTGTTTTGAGGATAACATAGGACTTTATTAGTCGCGTACACGTCATTTGGAATACCAGTAATCATGATAGTTACGATGTGCTGCTTCTTCTGCATATATAAATGACCCCATAATTGAGACCTTCCAAGGCGATGACTTTATATGATCATAAATTTACCTCCTTCCTACCTCCCCTGCAGTATTTGAATTCACCGATTTACCATGCCTGCTACCCTCCAAGTCGACGTATACGTCGCGCCAGCTATACCAATAGCCAACGGTCATCCCGATCCGTCTAAAAGGTCGTTCTCACCAATCTGCTGTACGCTTATTCAAGGACCGACATCTGCTGTCCTTGTCGATGCACCCACGACAATCGACCTAGCGCAGGACCTCGCTAGGTGGGCAAAGGAGACCGCTCCTGGAAAGAAGCTTTGCTTTATCTACACAACTCACGCCCATGGTGACCACTTCCTAGGTAACCCTGTGCTCTTGCAGCAATTCCCCGAAGCGCAGTGCGTGGCAACACCAGCTGTTGTGAATGATATCGAGAAGCAATGGTCCGAAAGCCTGTCGATGTGGAAGAAGATGTTCCCTGATGGCCAAATAGCGGACGGTCAAGTCATTCCTAAGCCCCTGCCCACCAACGGGCAATTCGCAATTGATGGATATACCTTTCGTGGTGTCGACGTGGCGCACTCAGACACTGACGCTTCCTCGTTCTTGTATGTCCCGGAGCTCAAACTAGTTGTCTGTGGGGATATTGTTTATGGCGACTGTTATCAGTTCTTCGGAGAGGCAAACACTCAAGAGAAGAGACAGAAGTGGTTGGATGCATTAGATCAGATCGCCGCGCTGGAACCTGACATTGTTGTGCCTGGCCATAAGAGGGAGTCTCAGGCCAATGGGCCATACTTGATTGCCGCTACAAAGGAATATATCTACGTGTTCGAGGAGGAGCTAAGCAAGGCTGAAGATGCGGAAGCCCTTGAGAACGCTATGGTATCACGGTATCCCCAAAGATTGAATCGCTTTCTGCTAGAGTGGAGCTGCAAGAGCTCTTTCGAAGAATATTCGAAGGCTCGTGGAATGAGTATATGAGGGCCGTGGTGCTTCCTCGTTTTGGCGGTCGACCATCACAACGAAATAGACATTCCGCTAACCGTCTCGCCAATCTTATGTGTTATAGTGGTGTCTACTAGCCTGTATTTATTCATCATATGTCCATAGGCCTAAGATATAAACACGACCAGACTTTTCTATCAACAATCATGTTGAGAGTAGTAGTGGCTTGGTACGTTAAAGGCCATATGCTACCTGGTCGTTGCACTAGAACAAGTATCATGTGTTGGTATATCTTCCACCGTTCCAAGGTTTAGCGCCTACATTCGGGTGCACATCCCTTCCGGTCTGACACCCATGTTTCTCGTAGGATTCACGCTAACATTAGCCCGTGGTTTATTTTGCTACCCGCGCCAATTTCCGAATAGTCGTACTTTGAATTGGTATTGCCAACGAATGAATAAGCTATCTCGCATGGTGTCCCACATGGTACTTTAGCCTCGGGTCCGGGTTATTCGTAGGCAATTATTTATTTATTTAATCAAGTTTAACGTCCATATGGAGCCAATCGGCTATGACAGACACATGCGTCTAGGCAGTGGTCTAGGCCACTGCCTCT